GTTATTGTAAATAATAGAATATGTATATGTGAGAGATATTAATCATTAATCTTCCAAATATAAGGCCACTCTGACAATAATGAAATGTTTATTAAGATTAGAAAAGTTAACTGTGGCCGGTGCCGCGGCTCACTAGGCTAATCCTCCACCTAGCGGCGCCGGCACACCGGGTTCTAGTCCCGGTTGGAGTGCTGGATTCTTTCCCGGTTGCCCCTCTTCCAGGCCAGCTCTCTGCTGTGGCCTGGGAGTGCAGTGGAGGATGGCCCAAGTGCTTGGGCCCTGCACCCCATGGGAGACCAGGAGAGGCACCTGGCTCCTGCCTTCGGATTGCGGTGCGCCGGCCTCAGCGCGCCAGCCGTGGCGGCCATTGGAGGGTGAACCAACGGCAAAAAGGAAGACCTTTCTCTCTGTCTCTCTCTCTCACTGTCCACTCTGCCTGTCAAAAAAAAAAAAAAAAAAAAAATTAACTAGAGCACTAGGGCTTTTCTTATACTGAGACATCAAATATCTTTATAATATTAAAAAAAAGAGGGGCCAGCATTGAGACATAGCGGGTAAAGCTGCAGCCTACTATGCCAGCATCCCATATGGGCGCTAGTTCAAGTCCCAGCTACTTCACTTCTGATCTAGCTCCCTGCCAATGTGCCCAGGAAAGCAGCAGAACGTGGCCTAAGTGCTTGGGCCCCTGCACCTAAGTGGGACACCTGGAAGAAGTTCCTGGCTTCTGGCTTTCCCCTGGCCCAGCCCTGGTTGTTGCAGCCATTTGGGGAGTGAACCAGCAGATGGAAAACCTGTCTCTCCCTCTCTCTGTAACTCTTTCACATAAACAAATCTTTTAAAAATATTGATTCCCCTTAGTTGTGGATTTTTTTAAATCTATTTTTATCTACTTGGAAGGCACATGACACAGAGAGAGTGTGCACACGAACTAGCTTCCATCTCATGGTTCACTCCCCCAGAGAGAGAGAGAAAGAGAGGGAGGGAGGGAGGAAGGTATCTTCCATCTCATGGTTCATTCCCTGAATGCCCACAACAGCCAGGAAATCAGAACTCCATTAAGGCCTCCCACATGGGTGGCAGGGACTTATCTATTTAGCCATTATCTTTCTGTTGCCTCCTCGATGCATTAGCAGGAAGCTTAATCAGAAATGGAGTAGCCATTGTTCCAGTCAACACTCTGATGCAGAGTGCAGGTGTCCTAAATGGCTGCGTAAATTGTGCCACAGTTCCCAGTCTCCTTCATAATTATTCTGCAATGTATGTGCCTGTCAGTTGGGTTAATATAAAACATGTAAACTTTGATCCAAGAAAAAAATAAATTCAGGTGAAAAGGCAGACTATTCTGTGAATTATCAGCTCATAAGATTTCTTACTGCTAGAGCTTGGAAATAATTGTTATTATAATGTGGTTATAATATCCATAGCACTTCAAGAATAAGGTAAATTTAAATAGCTTCTTAACATTTTAAAAAATTTAATTATATAAAGGGAACAGATTGTATATACTTCATATATACTGTTTTGAGAATATAATGATACTTTCTGCTTTCCCTTTCTCCTACCTTTTTTCCTCTTTCCTTTATTTTTCTTTTAATTTTTGTGATGGTATATTTTCAATTTATTTTATAGTCACAAGCTTAATAAGTGATAACTGTTTATTGGGAGTCTGAGAAGAGAGGGGAGAGAGAGAGACCAAGTGAGCAAAAGAATGAATGTGTTCCCAGCTGCCTACAACATCTGGGGCTGGGCCAGGCCAAAGCCAGGCACTGGAACCCAGTACAGGTCTCCCACATGGCTGGTAGGGACCCAATTACCTGAGCTCTCACTTATTGTCTCCCAGGTTATGCAGTAGCAGCAAGCTGGAATCAGAAGTGGAGCCAGGATTCAAACCTTGGCATTCTACTATTTGTTGTAAATTCCCAACCTGGTGTCTGAACTGCAAGACCAAATGCCTGCCCTGATAACTTTATTTTAAAAATTCAAGGGGCCGGTGCTGTGGCGCAGCGGGTTAACACCCTGGCCTGAAGTGCCGGCATCCCATATGGGTACCAGTCCTAGTCCCGGTTGCTCCTTTTCCAATCCAGCTCTCTGCTATGGCCTGGAATAGCAGTGGAAGATGGCCCAAGTCCTTGGGCCCCTGCACCCATGTGGGAGACCCGAAGGAAGCTCCTGGCCCCTGGCTCTGGATCAGAGCAGCTCTGGCTGTTGCAGCCATCTGGGGAGTGAACCATCGGATGGAAGACATCTCTCTCTCTCTCTCTCTCTCTGCCTCTGCCTCTGCCTCTGACTCTGCCTCTCCTCTCTCTGTAACTCTTTCAAATAAATAAAATAAATATTTTTTTTTTAAATTGGGGGCCGGCACCTTGGCTCTCTTGGTTAATCTTCCGCCTGCGGCGCTGGCATCCCATATGGGCGCTGGGTTCTAGTCCCGGTTGTTCCTCTTCCAGTCCAGCTCTCTGCTGTGGCCTGGGAGGGCAGTGGAGAATGACCCAGGTGCTTGGGCCCCTGCACCTGCGTGGGAGACCAGGAGGAAGCACCTGGCTACTGGCTTTGGATCGGTGCAATGCTGGCCGTGGTAGTCATTTGGGGGTGTGAACCAACAGAAGGAAGATATCTCTCTCTCTCTCTCTCTCTCTCTAACTCCACCTGCCAATTAAATAAAAAAAAAAAAATTGAATTCAAGTGAGCCTTTGCTGTTATGCTTGCAAAAAGTCTTATTTCCTTATGTGTAAGAATAGGATAAAAATACCTACCTACTCCACGGTACAAATCAGAGACTTGTGAAAGCACTTGACCCTTGGAGGAAAGGCACTCTTTAGAAATCCAAGATTTTGTTAATTTACGTTTTTGAATAGTTTATAATAAAAGCTATAAACACATTTATAAAGGGCTGACAAACTTAACAGTCTTGTTAAGTTTGCAGTGCTAGTTTAGGTACTATGAAAATTATTTTGTTAGATGATATTTTAGGCTTAATTACCTTTTTTCTTTTTATGGTTAGTAGATACATGTTGAACCTTCTAAATGCTGTTTCATCAGACGTTAGTTTCTTTAAATCAACATTTCAAATAATAACCAAATGCAAAAATAGTAAGAAAAAATTACTGGAAACATTTATAATATTGATGTCATAAATGTGTTTAAATATAAAAATAAGTTCAAGGTTCTATATACAGTGTTTATCTTTTTTTTTTTTTTTAATTTATTTGACAGAGTTATAGACAGAGAGAGAGAGAGACAGAGAGAAAGGTCTTCCTTCTGTTGGTTCACTCCCCAAGTGGCCGCTACGGCCGAAGCTACACCGATCCGAAGCCAGGAGCCAGGTGCTTCCTCCTGGTCTCCCATGCAGGTGTAGGGGCCCAAGCACCTGGGCCATTCTCCACTGCCCTCCCGGGCCACAGCAGAGAGCTGGACTGGAAGAGGAGCAGCCGAGACCAGAACCTGGTGCCGGTCCCCTACAGTGTTTATCTTAATATTCTGAAATTAAGAAAAAAAAATTGTGGCCTGTCTTTAGATCTGTTTCTATTAGAAAAAAAATGTGTCCTGTTAAGGTCTGTATAGTTTTTACATGATGTTAATGTTCAGGCATTATTTCAGTTTTTCTTCTAGTCAACCTAATTTCTGTTCCTACTTGCATAAGGAGAGATTTCTTTTTTTTTTTTTTTTTTTAAGATTTATTTATTTACTTGAAAGTCATAGTTACAGAGAGAGAGAAGGAGAGGCAGAGAGAGAGAGAGAGAGAGAGAGAGAGAGAGAGAGAGAGAGAGAAGTATCCATCTGCTGGTTCACTTCCCAGATGACCACAATGGCCAGAGCTGCACCAGTCCGAAGCCAGGAGCTTCTTCCTGGTCTCCCACGCAGGTGGAGGGGCCCAAGGACTTAGGCCATCCTCTACTGCTTTCCCAGGCCATGGCAGAGAGCTGGATCACAAGTAGAGCAGCTGGGACTCAAACTGGCGCCCATATGGGATGCCAGCACTGCAGGCAGTGGCTTTACCCGCTACACCACAGCACTGGCTCCACTTAAGGAGGGATTTCTCCAGCATCTCCCATTGTGTGAACATATGTACCAATACTCATATGCAGAGGAGTTATAAAATTGGGTGTGCTACTTACACTCATTTTTTCATATGTTTATTCCTGTTATAAGTGGCTCCTCTGTAAAGAAAATTCTGATACTATCACTTAGAAAGTGCTATGTGTGTAATATATCTATATCTATTTATCTATATCTATATCTATATCTATCTATATATATATTTTGGCTGAGGGAAAGGAGTAAACAAAATCCTTTATCTAGATTGCATGAGATTCTAATTACCTTATTCCACAAGCAAATCTGCAAGAGTTGGAGGCCTCTAAGCTTTAGCCCTTCGTTTTAGTGAAGATTTAACTGTGGTACAAGATTCACACATTGTTTTTGCTTCATTGAATTAGATTTTTATACAAAACACTTCCCAGGATTAAAATAATATGGACTCTATGTCAAGTCAAATGTAGACACTCATATGGGAAGCCTTATGAGTAATCTCCTTGACTATTAGTTGGAAGCATGTTTAGGCACAAATTAAAAAGGATATTTATGCACTGTATATATATTTCTCTGATATTGAAGTTATTCTTTATATACTGTACTTGTTCTATTATACTTTTTTCTACCCTGAAGAATTTCAAATGGATAAATGTTGCTGAAACTTAATGCAGCTATTCTGATGACCTATTAAGTTTAGTAAGAATGAATCTTGTATAGGTTCAGATTTATGAATAGAATGTTTTAGGCAATTTTCTTTTGACATTTATCACAGTACAGCTCATTTAAATTTTTGTAATTTTCCTAGGAAAAACTCATTCAATTTCAAATCATCCTTGTCTAGAAGATTTGTAATAGAATTCTGGTGATTATGTCCTTCTGCTGTGAAAACTTTGTTCCTTTAGATTTGTTTAAAAATGTCTTTGATACATTAGAAATCAATACTAATTATAATTTTTTTTCTCTCACAGCTTCATATTCTCCAATTCAGCCTCATTCTCTAATAAAACATCAACAGATTCCTCTTCATTCACCACCTCCCAAGGTTTCGCATCATCAGCTGATATTACAACAGCAACAACAGCAAATTCAGCCAATCACTCTTCAGAGTCCAACGCAAGACCCACCCCCATCCCAACACTGTATACCACTCCAAAACCATGGCCTTCCTCCAGCTCCCAGTAATGCCCAGTCACAGCATTGTTCACCAATTCAGAGTCATCCTTCTCCTTTAACAGTGTCTCCTAGTCAGTCACAGTCAGCACAGCAGTCTGTGGTGGTGTCTCCCCCACCACCTCATTCACCAAGTCAGTCTCCTACTATAATTATTCACCCACAAGCACTTATTCAACCACACCCTCTTGTGTCATCAGCTCTCCAGTCAGGGCCAAATTTGCAACAGTCCTCTGCTAATCAGGTACAACCTACAGCACAGTTGAATCTTCCATCCCATCTTCCACTTCCAGCTTCCCCTGTTGTACACATTGGCCCAGTTCAGCAGTCTGCCTTGGTCTCCCCGGGTCAGCAGATTGTGTCTCCAACATCACACCAGCAATATTCAACCCTGCAGTCATCTCCAATCCCAATTGCAACCCCTCCACAGATGTCAACATCTCCTCCAGCTCAGATTCCACCACTGCCTTTGCAGTCTATGCAGTCTTTACAAGTGCAGCCTGAAATTCTGTCCCAGGGCCAGGTGTTAGTGCAGAATGCTTTGGTGTCAGAAGAGGAGCTTCCAGCTGCAGAAGCTTTGGTCCAGTTGCCATTTCAGACTCTTCCTCCTCCACAGACTGTTGCGGTAAACCTACAAGTACAGCCACCAGCACCTGTTGATCCACCAGTGGTAAGCCCTTGGAAGCTCTTTGACTTTCTTGCTGAACTGAAAGTAAAAACTGTTTTCTCCTATGCTCTGTTATGTTGCTAAATCTAAATGCCTATGAATTTTAAAAGCTTGAAATTTCTATGTCAGTATTCTGACAAACATGCTATACGGACACACACAAAAAATGCCATTTGTTGTAGTATGGTTGCATGCTTGATAATTTGTGATGGTTATTAACATCCCTCGTTAATTTTATTACTATTTAAACAAATCCATCTGCTATCTTTACAGAGTTGATTTTTTTTCCCCAAGGGAATGCATTTGAACCAGTGTCATCTGCACAAAGTTTTTTCTCTTAAGGTGATTATCCTTCATAGATCCCTTCTGTTGGCTTGTATGTTTTTAAAGGTATGGTTTATTTAGCTGACCTTTTTGGTTGTATGCATTCTGAAGTCCTGGGCCTTGAGGGGATTTTATCTCAAGGTGGAGGAGGTATGCTTGTATATTTTTCATAAGGTTGTGTTTGGTCATTAAAATTTTACTAAAATTTTTGTTCTAGGCAAGAGTCCAGATTTGCAAAAAACATTAATTGTAGACCATTGGAATTATTAAGCTTCTGATTTTTAAATTTTTATTAAGTCTGAAGGAAAATATATACTTAAAATATTGCTTGTTAAAAAAGCTCAAAAATCTCAGTGGATGAATTAAATTCTAAGAATGAAAAAAAATCCACTGATAGAAGTTTTGAGTAATTAGGTTTGTGGTGAAATAAACCTCTGTGTTGCCTAGAAAGGAAAATTATCTTTCTCTAAAAGATTTTTAAAAATTTACAAAGTAATTTATAAAAGTTTAAATGACATCTCAATGTTTAGTCAGAATCATCAAATTCATAATTAATTTCTAACTGAGAAGAATTTTCCTAGTGGGAAATTTTGTATCAAACCTCATTGAAGAGATTCTATCACTTTTAAAGGCTCAGAGAGAATGGGGGCTTCAAAGTCTGCTCTTTAACATGAAACATTTGTTCTCAGGATGCAAATTTATAGATATTTTATTCTTATCATTCTATATGATCTTAATTGGCATAAAGAGATTGAGTTTCACTTGTATTCAAAGCAACTTGACAAAAAAGAACGACAAACATCTAGAGATAAGTTTGTTACCCAGTGGATTTTTGAAGCTTTTACAGTGGCTACTTTAACAAAACCACAGACTTAGGAAGCATATAGTGCCTTTAAATAAACCATATTTGATTTCAATTTATTTTCTCACTTTCTAGTTTGGTGATTTGTATTTTTTCCTCGATTTTTATTTATTTTCGTTTTATTTGAAAGAGAGAGACCAAGACCAAGAGAAAGAGAGATCTTCATCTACTGATTCACTCTAAATAACAGCAGCAGCCAGGGCTGATCCGGTTGAAGCCAGGAGCCCATAACCCAATCTAGGTCTTCCACCTGATTAGCAGGGACTTAAGTACTGGCCTGCTGCCTCTTGTGGGTGTGCATTAGCAGGCAGCTGAATTAGAAGCAGAGGAGCTGGGACTTGAGTTAGGCACTTTGATACAGGATAAGAGCATCTGATGCAGCATCTTAACTGCTGCATCAAATGGCCAGCTCAGCAATTTGGCTTTTAGCAAGTGAAAATTAAAATTTCTCCATGTTATATTTTTCGTATTTTTTAGTTACGGGAAACTTTTGAGTTGCATATTTAAGATAAAAATATAAAAAATAACACTTTAGAAATAAACTAAATTCAGGCTAAAAATACTTAAGTTTCTGTTTTGTTGTTTTCTGCCATCATTGTTTTTAAAATTTTACAAAAATTATCTCATACTTGGAAGATTTTTTCACCATAAAATGATTCACTTGCTCTGCTATCACTGACATGGTTCCTATGCTTGCTTTTGATGTTTCCTTATTACCTTTTTTTGAGTAATATAGCTTTGTTTATTAAATTGTTATAATTTTCTTTTACTTTAAACAAAATGTATTTTTTTGATCTATATGCAGTTCTTCACAAATTACACATTTCTGATTGTTTCAAATACTTTAGTGTAAGGAGAAATATTTAAGAGATGAGAAACTTGGAACAACAGGGTGAATTGTCAAAATGAAATCAATTTTTTTTAAAGATCTATTTATTTTTTACTTGAGAGTCAGAGTTACACAGAGAGAGGAGAGGCAGAGAGAGAGAGAGAGAGGTCTTCCATCCGCCGGCCAACTCCCCAGAAGGCCGCAACGGCTGGAACTGCACCGATACGAAGCCAGGAGCTTCCTGCAGGTCTCCCACGTGGGTGCAGGGACCCAAGGACTTGGGCCATCTTCTACTGCTTTCCCAGCTATAGCAGAGAGCTGGATTGGAAGTGGAGCAGCCGGGACTAGCACCAGTGCCCATATGGGATGCCGGCACCTCAGGCCAGGGTGTTAACCCGCTGCGCCACAACGCTGGCCCCGAAATCAATGTTTTTAAAAAGATGTAAAGGGAATTTTTTTTTTGACATGGATATAAATATGTTATGTTGAAGGTAGATAATTTAGAACTAATAAGCAAGTGTTCCTCAGAAGGGAGACAGATGGGAATAATGAACTTTATTGAGGTAAGTTTGGCAGTCTTTGTTATTTTTGGAAGAGAAACAGAAATTGTGATGTGCAGTTTCTAATGATCTAGTGAGCAGAACCTCCACTTTTCTTTTTACAGTATTTTAGTTGCTGCATTTACTTTTTGTCTGCTGATTGTGCCAGATACCTGTGACAGATTTGTTTTTGCCTATTTCTTTTTCTTAGTTTGCCTTTACACTGAATTAAATATATATAGTTAGCTTTTGCTATAAAGAATGAATAGCATTTACAGTATTCCTTGATGGATTATTTAAAAATATTCTGTTTCATGTTTTTCTCCATCCTTTAAAGATCACTATTTATTTATTTTTTTTAGAGATTTTATTTATTTATTCAACAGGTAGAGTTACAGACAGTGAGAGACAGGGAGAAAGGTCTTCCTTCTGTTAGTTCACTCCCCAAATGGCCAGCATGGCCGGCACTGCACCGATCGGAAGCCAGAAGCCAGGTGTTTCCTCCTGGTCTCCCACAAGGGTGCAGGGGCCCAAGCACTTGGGCCATCCTCCACTGCCCTCCCAGGCCACAGCAGAGAGCTGGACTGGAAGAGGAGCAACTGGGACTAGAACCCGGCCCCCACAATTTTTTTTTTTAAAGATTTATTTATTTTATTTGAAAGGCAGAGTTACAGAATGAGGAAGAGAAAGGGAGAGAGAGAGATCATCCATCCTCTGGTTCCCTCCCCAAATGGCCTTATTGGCTGGGGCTGGGCCAGGTTGAAGCCAGGAGCTTCATCAAGATCTCCTACATGGATGCAGGGGCCCAAGCACTTGGGCCATCCTCTGCTGCTTTCCCAGGCACATTAGCCAGTAGCTGGATTGGGAGTAGAGCAGCCAGGAATTGAACCAGCACCCGTTTGGGATGCTCAGGCTGCAGGCAGCAGTTTAAAATGCTGCCCAGCCCCAAAACTCATTATTATTATTATTTTCTTTTTTTGACAGGCAGAGTGGACAGTGAGAGAGAGAGACAGAGAGAAAGGTCTTCCTTTGCCGTTGGTTCACCCTCCAATGGCCGCCACAGCCGGCGCGCTGCGGCCAGTGCACCGCGCTGATCCGATGGCAGGAGCCAGGAGCCAGGTGCTTTTCCTGGTCTCCCATGGGGTGCAGGGCCCAAGCACCTGGGCCATCCTCCACTGCACTCCCTGGCCACAGCAGAGAGCTGGCCTGGAAGAGGGGCAACCGGGACAGAATCCGGCGCCCCGGCTGGGACTAGAACTCGGTGTGCCGGCGCCGCTAGGTGGAAGATTAGCCTAGTGAGCCGCAGCGCCGGCCCAAAACTCATTATTTTTTAAAATAAAGCAGAGCTCTGTACATAATAAACTTTGATTCCTTTAAAGATACTATAGCAGATGTTTGAATAGCATTCACATTAAACATTTTAGTCTTTTAAGAAAAGATATTCTTTGGGAAAAAAGTAATATCTATTAAAGGAATGTAGATAAAATTGCACTGGCTGATGAAACTAAACTTGCCTAATATTGAATTAACATCCCCACCACTAGGGCAGATTAATCATGGCTACAACAGTTGTGTCTGAGAACTAGAAAACTAGAAGTTTGTTGTTGTTGTTGTTAACCCCATTTTGGCAGATGATTTTCTCTATATTAGACATTATCATCATTTTTTAGATTATAATTTTCAAGAACAGGTGCTAGCCAGTTGTCATTGTTGCACTGTACAATAATGGATGACTGTTTTCATGTCTGAAATACAGACATGAGGCAAAGGATGTCTCTTGGTAAATCAGGTTTCCTGATGCAAGAGTAGTCAGCAAATGTTACCAATTTAGCAGATTTGTATCAACAGTTCTGGATAATACATATGAAGTCATCAGTAACAGAATTTTTAACTTTTAAAAAAGGCAAGGCCAGCCACAGGGCTCACTAGGCTAATCCTCCGCCTTGCGGCACCGGCACACCGGGTTCTAGTCCCAGTCAGGGCGCCGGATTCTGTCCCGGTTGCCCCTCTTCCAGGCCAGCTCTCTGCTGTGGCCTGGGAGTGTAGTGGAGGATGGCCCAAGTGCTTGGGCCCTGCACCCCATGGGAGACCAGGATAAGTACCTGGCTCCTGCCATCGGATCAGCGCGGTGCGCCGGCCGCAGCAGCCATTGGAGGGTGAACCAATGGCAAAAGGAAGACCTTTCTCTCTGTCTCTCTCTCTCACTGTCCACTCTGCCTGTCAAAAAATAAATAAATAAATAAATAAAAATAAAAAAGGCAAAAAAGATGATGTTTTTCTTAGTAGAGGCTTGGAAAGATTTTTATTTTTTAAATTATTGCTTATTGTTAGGTATTCCTTTATGGATGAAACTTCTTGGTTCCTTTCATAACTTAAGACTCATGCAGGTTTCATAAATCTTAATCATTTTTATGTTTAATTTTACATACTTCAAATCATCAGTTTTCTTTAGTAGTTTAATTTAAAATAATACAAATTAAATGTTAAAGTTTTTGTGAATGCTATTTAAAGTAGTTTTTTTGCTTCACAAATTAGAGTATCAATCATTTTGGCTAAGTAACCATAAAAAAGCTCAAGGTCTCATAATTTAAGTAATATCCTTTGCACATAAAAGAAGAGAGGTAAACTATTTTTACTTCATTTTTAGTAACTTATTGTCTTTCATAAATAATAAATTATGACAAAACTGTCAGTCTCTAGAAGTACATTTTGAAATTTAAGCCTTATGTTTAATGAAACACAAGTAAGAATTTAGTTATTTGTAGCTATATAACTCTGAGTCCATCTTCCTTCTTAAGTATCATTTTTATAATTAATAATGTGGTGTCAATGTAAAGCTTAAGAACTTTTCCACATATATGTTGAACAGTATTAAATAACTAAAATCAGTATGTTATTAATGACTTAGAAGTGTTTTAAGGAAAGGCATTTTCTGTTTATGATATTAACATATGATTTAATTAGATTCTTGAGTAAGAACAGAAAATATAATTGCTTATTTTTTGTAGATACTTTAATGTTACTCTTCATAGTTTAATATTTAATTCACATAATAACAATGAAGAACAGCCTGTGGTATAGTCCTCCCTGACAGTACATTTACTGATATATTGTGCCATTTTAGAAATTTATTTAGTGAGCCTATAAGAGATATTAGTATATTCTGATCTCCGACAATTAAAAATTAATAGCAGTATATTTCCTGAAATAGTTGTTTGATTATATAAAATTAAAACTCTTTTTTGAATATCCAGACTTGACCCACATCTTTTTGGTAACTAGCAATTTTTGGTCTGTGTAACTGACCCACAGCTTACTTTCAGTGAAATATGATCAAGTTTTATGGAAATCTTGATTTGAGTGATTTCAAAGCTTTCCTTTTAACCTGTCAGAATAGTTAATTTGCCTTGTTTTGAAATTTAATATATTTAGAATTTAACTTTTAAAATAAAGTTGGGATACTTCATTAAATGTAGTTCTGGAAACATCTTAAGGCAGTATGGTTTGTCATTTCAGGTTTATCAGGTAGAAGATGTGTGTGAAGAAGAAATGCCAGAGGAGGCAGATGAATGTGTACGAATGGACAGGACCCCACCACCACCCACTTTGTCTCCAGCGGCTATAACTGTCGGGAGAGGAGAAGATCTAACTTCAGAACACCCTTTGTTAGGTGAGGAAATACCAAAAATTAAGGGATTTTTTTTCTTTGTTAATGTTAGTAATGAGAAAAGTTAATTTTTTTCATTATAGGTGGTGTTATTAAACTGTTACTATAGTTTCTTGCAGTAAAAAGGTAGATTAGATTTTGAGGTTTTTTTTTTCTGATGAAGAAATTAGTTAATTACAGACTAGATGATAATTATTTGCTTTCCTTGAAATTTCTTTAATAGTAAGGAAGTTTATAGTTTCAAAATTGTTTAATACCATCCAAATGAAAAACATACCATTTCAGTCTTCTAATATTTAGTGGTTTGTACCAATGTGTTTCATGTGCCTATTTAGACTCATATGTTGATCTGTTTCTAGCTTAAAAATGAGAATAAATCAAAATTATAAATTTTTAGAAAGTATAAGTTATACTTTCTAAAATGTTATAATACATTCTAAGTAGTATTTGATATTTTACACAATTGATTGTTCTGACTGAATAAATGGTTTTTTAAGTATTTTTGAACACCTAACATTGCTTAAATTGTTTTATTAATACTTACAAGAGACATGATTAAAAAAATTTTTTTGCACTTAAGCTGTTAAATTTTTATTCACTACTTCAGTGCTACTGCCTTGTTCAGATAAATCTCCTGTATATTCCTCCTCACAGTTTCAAAGTTACTGTGACCCCCTAAGTCTTTTACTAAAACAGCAGTCTACTGATAGTCTAATGTCTGGGTCCTAAAACACATGTATTCCACAATAATTTTTAAGATTTAGTTTTTATTTAAATTTATTTTTAAATTTATTTGAAAGGCAGAGAGATTTTTTTAAAAAGATTTATTTATTATTTATTTGAAAATCAGAGTTACACAGAGAAAGAAGGAGAGGCAGAGAGAGAGGGAGAGAGGTCTTCCATCTGCTGGTTCACTCCCCAATTGGTTGCAATGGCCAGAGCTGCGCCAATCTGAAGCCAGGAGCCAGGAGCTTCCTCCAGGTCTTCCCACATGGGTGCAGGGGCCCAAGGACTTAGGCCATCTTCTACAGCTTTCCCAGGCCATAGCAGAGAGTTAAATTGGAAGTGGAGCAGCCGGGTCTTGAACCAGCTGGCACTGCAGGCAGCAGCTTTACCCACTGCACCACAGCGCTGGCCCCAAGAGATATCTTCTATCTGCTGGTTCATTCCTCAGTGCCTACAACAGCTGGGATTGGTCAGGCCAAAGCCAAGAGCTAGGAACTTCATCCAAGTCTCCCATGTGGGTAGCAGGGACCCAAGTACTTGAGCCATCATCTGCTATCCCCCAGGATACACATTGGCAGGAAACTGAAATTGGAAAGAGAGCTGGGACTCGAACCCAGGCACTCTGATATGGAATATAGGCACCCCAAGTGGTGTCTTCACTGCTGAGCCAAATACTTGCCTTGAATATTTTATTTAGATAGGGATTGACAGACAACAGTTCTATATTCAAACCTTTTTCACTAACTTTTTATTTTATTTCTTAAAATATTATTTATTTATTATTTTTAAAAAATTTATTTGAAAGGCATCTGCTGGTTCACTCGCCATATGGTCACAAAGATCTGGGCTGGGTCAGGCCAAATCCAGAAGCCAGGAGGTTCATCTGGGTGTGCCACATGGGTGACAGGGGCCTAAACACTGGGCTATCTTTCACTGCTTTTCCCAGGCAGTTAGCAGGGAGCTGGGTGGGAAGTGGAGCAGCTGGGACTCCATCCGGTGTCCATATGAAATACCAGTATTGCAGGCCATGGCTTTACCTGCTGTGCCACAATGCTGGCCCTACTACTGCCTATTTTTATATGCCCAGCTAAGGATCTTTATAAATTTTTGATTGATTGAACGAAAATCTAAAATACAAGAGTAATAGTTCACACCATGTGAAAATTACATGAAATTTGAATCTCATTGTCAATAAATACCAGTAAAGTTCTGTGGAATACATCAATGCTTGTTTATTCAGATATTATCTATGGCTGATTTTGTGCTAATAGCCACAAAATTCAGTAGTTGCAGAGACCATCCATGGCCCTTTACTGAAAGTTTGCAAACTGTTTTTTATTTTTTTAATTTTTTTTTAAAGATTTATTTTATTTATTTGAAAGACAGAGTTACAGAGAGAGGTAGAGACAGAGAGAGATCTTCCATCCAATGGTTCACTCCCCAGGTGGCTGCAACGGCTGTAGCTGAGCCAATCTGAAGTCAGGAGCCAGGAGCTTCTTCTGGGTCTCCCACGCAGGTGCAGGAGCCCAAGGATTTGGGCCATTTTCAGCTGCTTTCCCAGGCCATAGCAGAGAGCTGGATCAGAAGAGGAGCAGCCAGGACTAGAACTGGCACCCACATGGGATGCCGGCGCTTAAGGCCAGGGTTTTGTGCCCCAGAGAACCCTTTTTTAAATAATGCTTATCTGGGCATGGGCTGTGGTGCAGTAGGTTAATCTTCCACCTGCGGTGCCAGCATCCCATATGAGCTAGTCCTGGCTGCTCCTCTTCCAATCCAGCTCTCTGCTATGGTATGGGAGGGCAGTAGAGGATGGCCCAAGTCCTTGGGTCCCTGCACTTGCATGGGAGACTGAGAAGTAGTACCCGGCTCCTGGCTTCGGATTGGCGCAGCTCAGGCTGTTGTGGCCATCTGGGGAGTGAACCAACGGAAGAAAGACTTTTCTCTCTGTCTTTCCCTCTCACTGTCTGTAACTCTACCTCTCAAATAAATAAATGAAATCTTTAAAAAAAAAATAATGCTAATCTTGGTTCAGGCATTGTTTTATGCAGTTTGTACTACTGAATATCTCATGGCCCTCATTATCATTAATTTTCAGTTAAGTGCTACTGTAATAGGCAAGGAAGCAACAAACTGCAGTGTGATACTGATCTTATCTGCTACCAGGACAACCCTCTTCTGCTGCTCCTCCGCACGCGGAGGAGCCGCACCGGACCGGGCGCTTATTGTTTCCCTTTTTTTTACAAGTCCTTTCTATAGTAAAGTAAGAATAAGTAAACAGCAAACTCCCAAAGCAAGAATGAGTAGAGAGAAATGAGAAAGAACGAAGTAACGAACTTCCCCGCAAACTCTCCAACGCACTCTCCAACCAACCCACGCCACCATGCCGTCTCTCTCCTCCTATATAGTCCTCCTCCGCCAATCCCAACTCGGCTGCCCACACGCCGAGCACGCCGCTCTCCTCCAATCAGGAGCAAGTCCTACAGTTTATTGGCTGAACTGGAGGCAGCTGTGTAGAAACTGTTTTCTTCTCTCCCAGCGCCATATTGTGGGAGAGCAGATGCATAGAATAAGTCTTAATTCCAGTAACTTAGTCTAGTCCGAGTTGCTCCCCACACTCTTCCTTCCTCTTCTTTCTTTCTCTTCTTCCTCTTCCTCTTCCTCTTCCTCTTCCTCTCTCCCTCCCTCCCTGCCTTGCCCGCTTGCTCTCAATTCTCCTTCTCTCCCTCCGTCCTTCCCCTTCTCTGACTTTCTGTCCCTCTCTCTCCCCTCACTTCCTCTGCCTTTCAAATAAATAATTAAAAACTTAATAATAAGAACATATACTGGGGGCTAGTGCTGTGGCATAGTAGGTTAATCATCTGCATGCAACTCCAGCATCCCATTTGGGTGCTGGTTCTAGTCCCGGCTGCTCCTCTTCTTACTCAGCTCTCTGCTGTGGCTGGGAAAGCAGTATAAGATGGCCCAAGTGCTTGGGCCCCTGCCCCAATATGGGAGACCCGGAAGAAGCTCCTGGCTTCAGACTGGCCCAGCTCTGGCCATTTGGGGAGTGAACCAGCTGATGAAAGAACTTTGTGTCTCTCCTTCTCTCTTTCTGTAATTCTACCTCTCAAATGAATAAATAAATCTTAATATATATATATATATTTATACATATATATATAAAGCAATATTTTCCATATAAACCAAATTATACTTATTGCAGTATCTTAGTCCATTTTGTGCTGGTATAACAAAATACCACAGATAGAATAATTTATAATAGACTGCTTGTAAGGATTACTGTGTTCCAGTACTTAAAACAGTGAGCATGTTACCTGGCATGAGTGCTCGGCAAGTATAATTATCTTTATGCACGTGCTCTTTATTTTGTTAGACATAGCTCTCTCTACTCAACTGCTACTCCTAGATAGCGGACGGTTCGGCCTTTCTACTCTAGAACAGGCAGTAAAGGGTTGGTGCAACCAAATGGGTAAAAATCTATCACAGGCTGTCATTTCTGTCTTATTGTGGTCCTCAGAGTTTGAAGGGAGAGAATCATCATGATTCAGCCCAACATTTTGTACTTGACCAGTAGTGTGTGTGCCTCAGAATTAATATATGTAGAGCCCTGAAGAATTTAAAAAAAATACCAGACGAACAAAGAACATTTGTGTGAGTCTTATGCTTGAAGTTAAGGGTAATGACCTTTGCAGTTCATTGGTATTTCAACTTACTTTGTGAATTTTGTGATTTCTTTTCATTTTTAAAGTATCCTTCCCCAACCCTTGTCCTGCCCAAACTATTTGGAATGTATAAGTAGGAACATAGGGGATTTAATATCTATAAAGTTTAAAATTGAAATAAAAAGACATTTTAGTAATTATACGTAAATTGATATTCTAAAACACTTTCATGTCTTGAGCCAGTTTTTTTTTTAAACAGTTTTATTTATTTGAAAGACATGTGGGAGGAGGGAGGGAGAGAGGAGGAGCTCTTCTATCTGCTAGTTCACTCCCAAAATGGCCTCAAAAGCTGAGGCCAAGCTGAAGTCAGGCACCTAGTCTGCAGCTGCATCTCCCACATAAATGGCAGCATCTGCTGCTTTCCCAGGCATATTTATGGGAAATTGGATAGGAAGCAGAGCAGCGGGACTCAACTGGGGCTGTAACGTGGGATGTAGGTGTCCTGTGCTGCCATTTAACCTCCTGTACTGCAGCACCAGCCCTATTGTGGCAGTTTTTGAAACAAAGGTTTCAGTGATGTATGTTGAGCAAATTGCCTTCTGTAAAGTAGGGATGATAGTTTATACCTCTAAAGGTTATTGTGTAGATTAAATTACTAGGACAGTTTTTGAAAACACTTGATATTAACTAAAAGGGTTTATACTTGAATTCTCTTTCATATTTGCTGGACAAAATACTGGAGGTCAAAAAAATAACTTTTTTCCCCCCAGAGCAAGTGGAATTACCTGCTGTGGCATCTGTCAGTGCTTCAGTAATTAAATCTCCATCGGATCCCTCTCATGTTTCTGTGCCTCCACCTCCGCTCTTACTTCCGGCTGCTACCACAAGGAGTAACAGTACATCTATGCCCAGTGGCATTCCAAATGTGGAAAATAAACCTCCACAGGCTATAGTTAAGCCACAGATCTTGACCCATGTTATTGAAGGCTTTGTGATTCAGGAGGGATTGGAGCCATTTCCAGTAAGTAGCATGCATATTTGTGTTTAAAAAAAATTGCTCATGTAACATTAATTTTAAATTGTCTTTTATGGTTCTCCTATAAGAAACCTTGTAATTTTATTTAGTTGTCAGTTTTTATCTTGAATTCTATATCCATTACATATTTCCAAATACACTTCTGGAATTTTATGATAACTATGTAGATTTACAGGAGAAAAGAACAGAAAAAAATTTCAGGTTATAGGAGCATCATCAGTAAAATTCTAACCATGTTTTAGAGAAAGGTGGTTGGAAGCTTAGTCCAATGAAAGGACTAAAATGATATCTAAAGTGTATAATTTTTTAAAATACTGCCTTGTATGTGATACACTGTCAGCTTTAACATGATATGCAGAAAATATTAACTTCTCCATATTCTAATATATTTAAAGTCAGCTAATTGATGATTTATAATGAGCATTACTCCTAAATTTCAGCCTTCAGTCATATTTAAAAAATGCTTTTAAATGTTCACCTCAAAATGGAAGTGCTCTGTCACTACAAATCTTAACATTTCAGACTAGGTTGTACATAACTTAAATGCCAACATCTAAAGATGTATATTTATTTTATTTATTTGAAAGAGCAACAGAACAGGAGGGTGAGACAGAGACACATATATACACAGAAAAAAGAGATCTTTTACTTGCTGGCTTACACTCCATGTGGCTACAATAGCCAAGGCAGGGCCAAGCCAAAGCCAGAAGCCAGGAATTCCATTCAGGTCTTCCATGTGAGCAGTAGGGACCAGAGTACTTGGGCCATCTTCCAGTACCTTCCCAGGTGCATTAACAGGAAGTTGGGTCAGTAGTGACATTTTTTCTTAGACAACAAATCAAAGACAAATACATATAAAACATAAAATACTTCTGAAGGCTTTTGAGTCACCTGGATTTTCAGTTTCATAGGTGAAAATCTTGTATTTTAATAGTTGGTTACCCAATTAGTTGCCTTCATGTTCGGTTTGCTGTGTGTTCAACCTGAATCTCCTAGAAGAATTCTTATACAGTGGATGGAGGAACAGTCGTTTCTCCCTACTCAAAGTAGGATGTGTAACTAGAAGTATTTGAATCCTGGCTCTGCCGCATGCTGTCTAACATTTATCAACTCTTTCAACCTTTCTGATCTTCATTTTGCTCATTAGACTGGTTAGGGTTGTTGTGAGAATTAAATGCATAAATTACTCTGTAGTTCTTGGCACTTACTAACAGATTATAAAAGTAATTCTTATGCTTTTTTCTTTTGAGATTTATTGATTTATTTGAAAAACAGAATTATAGATAGAGGGGGAAACAGAGATCTTCATCTGCTGGTTCACTCCCAAAATGGCCTCAATGGCCAGAGCTGGGCTGGTCTGAAGCCAGCAGCCAGGAGCTTCTTCTGGGTCGTCCATGTAGCTGCTGGAGCCCAAGGACTTGGGCCATCCCTCTGCTGCTTTCCAAGGCCATTAGCAGGGAGCTGGTTCAGAAGTGGAGCAGCCAGGACATGAACCACTGCCTGTATGGTATGCCGGCATCACAGGTGGCAGGTTTACCCGATATGCCACAACACTGGCCCCCTTAGGAAACACGTGAAGCAGTTACATAATACTCTACTTTATGGAACGTCAGAATTTGAACATTTATTTTTCCATTCCATTATTAGTACATTGGAAAATATTTTGAAAGTTTATCTAATCTGCTTTATGGAAAAACATTCATATTGTACATTGTACTCATTTTTTCACTTTTTCAGTAGTTCTGAAAGGAATATCTTTGTATATAAATTGTCTACATTTTAAATAATTTTCTTAGCATAAATTCCTAGATTTAGAATTATTGTAGGGGCCAGCACTGTGGCATAATTGCTAAAGCCACTGCCTGTACTGCTGGCATCCCATATGGGTGCCAGTTCAAGACCTGGCTGCTCCAATTTGAATCCAGCTCTCTGCTATGACCTGGGGAAGCAGTAGAAGATAGACCAAGTCTTTGGGCCCTTGTACTCAAGTGGGACACCCAGAAGAAGCTCCTGGCTCCTGCCTTTGGATCGGCTTAGCTTTGGCCATTGCAGCCATTTGGGAAGTGAACCAGCAGATGGAAGACTTTCTTTCTCTCTCTCTGCCTCTGCCTCTGCCTCTCTGTAACTCTGACTTTCAAGTAAATAAATAAATCTTTTTTAAAAATAGAATTATTGTATCACATTACATATATATTCATAGAGTTATTGATATATATTGCCAAATTATTTTCCAGAAAGGTTTACATTTATTCATCCATCAGACATGTGCCCGTCGCCTGTTACCATCTTTTTTTTTTTTTTTTTTTTTTTTTTTAATTTATTTATTTGAAAGAATTACACAGAGAGGTAGAGACAGAGATCTTCTGTCTGCTGGTTCACTTCCCAAATGGCCTCAACTGCCAGAGCTGAGCTGATCAGAAGCCAGGAGCCAGGAGTTTTGTCTGGGTGTCCCATGTGAGTGCAGAGGCCCAAGGACTCTGGCCATCCTCCACTGTTTTCCCAGGTGCATTAACAGAGAGCTGGATTGGAAGTGGAGCAGCTGGGACTCAAACCAAAGCCCATATAGGATGCTGGCACTGCAAGCCAGGGCTTTAACCTGCTGTGCCACAGCTCCGGCCCTGTTACCATCTTTTTCTAGGGGTAATTGCCATAAACCTTACTTGAAGTATATAAAATATCTATTTGAAATAAGCAAAGAAAAAATTGTCATAGTGTTATTGACTTTAAAAGTTCAATCATACTCTAAAGTTAAATGGAGAAATTTCCAGTAAGCTATTATTCCTCATGTGTAGCAGATATTGACAATTTAACCGGCATTCTTGAGGACTAAGATGTTCTAGTCATCCTTTTTTCAGATTAGCTAAGGGCTCACTACCACATCAGTAAACGTTTTTGTTCAGAATTATTTATGCTAGAAATCTTTCTAAAATAAGTAATACTATAACAACCAAGTATCCTGAGCATTAGTTAAGCTTGTTGTTATTAACATTAACATTTGAAGATTTTTCATTTCTTTTTTTTTTTTTTTTTTTTAAAGATTTATTTATTTGAGCTGGCGCTGCGGCTCACTAGGCTATAATCCTCCGCCTGTGGCGCCGGCACACCGGGTTCTAGTCCCGGTCAGGGCGCCGGATTCTGTCCCGGTTGCCCCTATTCCAGGCCAGCTCTCTGCTGTGGCCAGGGAGTGCAGTGGAGGATGGCCCAAGTCCTTGGGCCCTGCACCCGCATGGGAGACCAGGAGAAACACCTGGCTCCTGGCTTTGGATAAGTGTGGTGCACTGGATGCAGCGCGCCGGCCACGGCAGCCATTGGAGGGTGAACCAACAGCAAAGGAAGACCTTTCTCTCTGTCTCTCTCTCTCACTGTCCACTCTGCCTGTCAAAAAATTAAAAAAAAAAGATTTATTTATTTGAAAGAGTTACACAGGGAGAGAAGGAAAAGCAGAGAGAGAGAGAGAAGTCTTGCATCCACTGGTTCACTCTCCAATTGGCTGCCAAAGCTGGCGCTTCCTCCAGGCCTTGCACTCAGGTGCAGGGGCCCGAGGACTTGGGCCATCTTCTACTGCTTTCTCAGGCCATAGAAGAGAGATGGATCAGAAGTAGAGCATCCGGGACTTGAACTGGTGGGATGCTGGCACTGCAGGTGGCAGCTTTACCCACTGCGCTATAGTGGCGGCCCCATCCATTTCTTTTGTAATTACAGTGGACTAGGTTGCTGAACTTTGAATCTGAATACTTGGGTTCTGGTCTTTGTTTTGCCATTGTAAAGAAATCATGTAAATACTTTGAACATTAGTGTACTCACCTATAAAATACATACAGTAGTAATCTATGGGCAGACATTTAGCCTAAAGATGTCTGTTTCCCATATGTGCCTAGGTTTGATATCACTCCATCTGCTGACTATAGACAGCTACCTGCTAATACAGATATTGGGAGGCAGCCAGGATGGCTCAAGTGATGGGGTCCATGCCATACACATGGGACACTTGGAGTGAGTTTCTGGCTCCTGACTTTGACCCAGGCCAATTCTGGCCATGGAAGGCATCTGGGGAGTGGGCCAGGAGAGCAGATGGAAACTTTTTCTCTGTGTGTTTATATCTGTCTCTATGTGTCTTTCTCTCAAAAAAAAAGAAAAAAAAAAGCCAATGATTTAGTTTGAGATTAATTAAAAATTAAAAATTATTTTTTAAAAAAGATTTGTTTTATTTATTTGAAAGGCAGAGAGAGGACTTCCATCCTCTAGTTCACTCCCCAGATGGCCACAACAGCTGTGCTGGGTCAGGCTGAAGCCAGGAGCCAGGAGCTGGGATATTCTTCCGGGTCTTCCATGTGGATGCAGGAGCCCAAGCACTTGAGCCATCTTCTGCTGCCCTCCCTGGTGTTTTAGCAGGGAGCTGGATCAGAAGTTGTACAGCCAGGACTTTTACTGGCACCCATGTTGGATACTGGCACTGCAGGCAGTGGCTTAACCCAATTAACACCAAAGCACCAGCCCTTGAAAAATAATTCTTGAAAGTTGTTACAGAAAAAAATCACTAATTTAGGATATTGGCTAGTGTCGCTCCCCGTCTTCGTGGAGGAGCAACACTGAACCCTGCGCTGTTCTTTCGTCTGCTCGGCCCTCCCCGGGTTTGCTGCTGGTTCTTCCCGGGTTGGCTACTATCCCTTCCACCTCCGTGGAAGGGCAGTTCCCCCTGGCCGCATTCCCCACTTCCGCAGGGGAGCGGCACACCGCCGGCCGGCTCTTCTCGGGGGCTGCACAGGTGTTCCTTCAGCTAGATGTTCCCCATAGATGTTCCCGGTGCATGCCGTCTCTCTCCTCCTTTATAGTCCTCCTCCGCCAATCCCAACTCGGCTGAGTACGCTGCTCTCCAATCAGGAGCAAGTCCTACAGTTAATTGGTTGAACTGGAGGCAGCTGTGCGGAAGCTGTTTACTTCTCTCCCAGCGCCATATTGTGGGAGAGCAGATGCATAGAATAAGTCCTAATTCGAGCAACTCAGTCTAGTCCGGATTGCTCCCCACAGGCTAGTCCGAATTTATTGCTGATATTCTATTTGTGTGGCATTCATACGGAAAATAGTAAAGTTTCTGAAGGATAAATAGTCAACATCATACAGAATTTGAGAAAGTATTATTTGAGTAATATTTCCTAAAATTAAAAAATCCTAAATCCTAAATACACTGGTAGTTATTGCCTTAGTTTTTCAGTGTTGGGCTGAACTAAAGATATACTTAACAGTGCCAGATAACTTGTAAATAGTATTAATTCTGAACATAAGGAGTTGCTCAAATTTAAGTTGTTTTTTTTTTTTTAACTACTTGCCTAAACTAGGACACTGGGTGACATGTGACAGGGACTTTGAAGCAGCCATTCTGCTGATGACCAGAAATAAAGCATTTATGTCCAGATTGCCCAGCTCTCTCAAGGAATAACACACTTACCTAGTGAGTGGATCTGATCAGCTGAGCAAGTAACTTATCACAGATAACATTCACTTTAAGAAGTTTTCTTTCTAGAGATTTTTCTTTTCTTTCTTTTTTTTTTTTTTAAGGTGAGTCGTTCATCTTTGCTAATAGAACAACCTGTGAAAAAGAGGCCTCTTTTGGAGAATCAGGTGATAAATTCTGTATGTGTTCAGCCGGAGTTACAGAATAATACAAAGCATGCAGATAATTCATCTGACACAGAGATGGAAGACATGATTGCTGAAGGTTTGTGTATTTCACTTAAAAAATACCCTGTAACTTAACTGACTTTCCTTGCTTATAGTAGAATGTAATTTTTATTCTGCACTTGGAAGTATTCACCTATAACTTACACAGTGCAGCTTGACTAAAATAATGGGGAAGCTAACCAGAGTCTTAATGGTCAAATAACTAATTGAAAAAAGTTGCTGGTGTCAGTTTGACTTTTGAAGGAGTGTGGATAGGAATAAGTTCTGCCATACAATATGAGAGAAAATTATTTAAAATTTTAGCATAAAAGTAACATTCTTTTTAAAAAATCATATTTAAGTAACAAAAGTCTTGTATTGAATTTAGTTAAAATTAGAGTTTCAAGATTGTTTTTTTTTTTTAAAGATTTATTTATTTATTTGAAAGGCAGAATTAACAGAAGCAGAGAGAAAGAGAGGACTTCAATCTACTGGTTCACTCCCCAAATGGCCGCAACAGCTGGAGCTGGGCCAATCTGAAGATAGGAGCCATGATCTTCCGCCGGGTCTCCCATGTGGATGCAGGGGTCCAGGGACTTGAGTTATCTTCTGCTTTTCCAGGCCATAGCAGAGAGCTGGGTCAAAAATGGAGCAGAAAGACTCAAACCGGTGCCCATATGGGATGCTGGCACTACAGGCAGCAGCTTTACCCGCTGCACCATAGCTCTGGCACCAAGATTGTTGGGTTTTATTTATTTTTTTAAAGATTTATTTATTTATTTTGAAAGGCAGAGTTAGAGAGAAAGATCTTCCATATACTGATTACTCCCCAAATGGCTGCAGTGGCCAGAGCTGGGCCAGGCCAATGCTAGGAGCCTGGAGCTTCATTTTGGGTCTCCCACATGGGTGGCAGGGCTCAAGTTCTTGGGCCATCTTCTACTGCTTTCTCAGGCCCACTAATAGGGAACTGGATCGGTAGTAGATGAGCCAGGAATGGAACCAGTACCCATTTGGGATGTCAGTGTCTTAGGATGCTGTGCCACAACATAAGCTCCATGGGTTTTAAACCTTGCACCTTCTGATGTTTGATAACGAGAATTAGAATTATATCAGGGATATGCTCTTCAATCAAGTGGCAAATACATTTGTTCAAAGAGAAATGTAACACTGGCTCTCCTTAACATCGAAGAATCCTTTTTACCCCCCAAAGAATCCTTTTTGTAGACGTTATTCTATTTTTTTTATTTTTTTTTATTTTTTTATTTTTTGACAGGCAGAGTGGACAGTGAGAGAGAGAGAGAAAGGTCTTCCTTTGCCGTTGGTTCACCCTCCAATGGCCACCGCGGCTGGCGCGCTGCGGCTGGCGCACCGCACCGCTCTGATCTGATGGCAGGAGCCAGGTATTTATCCTGGTCTTCCATGCGGGTGCAGGGCCCAAGGACTTGGGCCATCCTCCACTGCACTCCCTGGCCACAGCAGAGAGCTGGCCTGGAAGAGGGGCAACTGGGACAGAATCTGGCGCCCCGACCGGGACTAGAACCCTGTGTGCCAGCACCGCAAGGCAGAGGATTAGCCTAGTGAGCCGCGGCGCCGGCCATAGGTTTTTGAACTCAGTTTTTCTCTGCAACTTTTCTTTTTTTTTAAGATTTATTTTTGGGGCTGGCGCTGTGGCATAGCAGGTAAAGCCGCCACCTACAATGCCGGCATCCCATATGGATTCTGGGTCAATTCCTGACTGTGCCACTTCTGATCCAGTTCTCAGCTGTAGCCTGGGAAAGCAGTGGAGGATGAGCCAAGTCCTTGGGCCCCTGCACCCACATGGGAGACCTGGAAGAAGCTACTGGCTCCTGACTTTGGATCAGTGCAGCTCTGGCTCCTGTGGCCATTTGGGGAATGAACCAGTGGATGGAAGACCTCTCTCTCTCTCTGCCTCTTTGTAACTCTGCCTTCCAAATAAATAAATCATTTTTTAAAATTTTATTTATTGGGGCCGGTGCCATGGTGCACTTGGTTAATCCTCCGCCTGCGGCACCAGCATCCCATATGGGCTCCAGTTCTAGTCCCGGCTGCTCCTCTTCCAGTCCAGCTCTCTGCTATGGCCTGGGAAAGCAGTAGAGGATGGCCTAAGTGCTTGGGCCCCTGCACCCACATGAGAGACCAGGAGGAGGCACCTGGCTCGTGGCTTCAGGTCAGCGTAGCTCCGGCTGTTGCAGCCATTTGGGGAGTGAACCAACGGAAGGAAGACCTTTCTGTCTGTCTGTCTCTCTCACTGTCTGTAACTCTACCTGTCAAAAAAAAAAAAATCATTTATTTATTTATTTATTTATTTGAAAGGCAGAGTTACAGAGAGAAAAGAAGGGACAGAAAGGGGTGTTTCATCCACTTGTTCAATCTCCAGGGGCTGGGTAAGGCTGAAGCCAGGAGCCAAAAGCTTCTTTTGTGTCTCCCATGTGGATGGTAGGGACCCAAGCACTGGAAGCATCTTCTGCTGCTTTTCTCAGGCTATTGGCAAGGAGCTGGATCAAAGTGGAGCAGCTGATACTGGAACGGGTGCCCATATCAGATGCTGGCATTGCAGGTGGCAGCTTTACCCACTGTGCCACAATGCTGGCCCCAGCTTTTTTTGAAAGGCAGAGAAAATGAGAGATCTTCTGTGTTCTGGTTTATTTCCCAAATGACCTCGACAGGTGGGGCCATGTCAGGCCAAAGCCAAGAGCCAGGAACTCTATTTGAATCTCCCATGTGGGTGGTGGGGTTTCTAATACTTGAGCCATCATCATCTGCGGCCTCCCAGGGTGTGCATTAGCCAGAAGTTGGCCAAGTGGGATTGGAAACCTAGGCACTTTGATACGGGATGGAGGTCTTCTAAACAACAGCTTAACCCACTGTGCCATTCGCCTGCCTCAGCTCTGCAATGTTTTCTTCATAAATTTTTAAAAAAGTAGCCTTAGAGCATTATCTGATTTGTTAAAAATATGTTTGAATGTTAGAAAGAAATTTTTGAATCTGTTAACATCCCTAACTTGCTTATTAGGAATAAAACTGACATTCCATTTTTGTTAGGTTGTTAGTCTCAAGTCATAATTGGTAATTCCCCTCTCTGAACAATAAAAAACATTTCCTTCTCCTTTGTAAGGTATTCTAACCTGTTATCAGATAATGTATATTGTCATGTTACTATTCCTGGAACAGTGTTTCTTCAGTGCTGTGTTAGTGGTGGTTCTGTCCCCTATAGACTTTTCATGGTCAGGCTATCTGCATGATAAAGTAAAAATAATACTCTTGGAGGTTATGTCATCAGCTCACTTGGGTCAGTGGATATTCTGAAGAGGTCTCAGCTATGTGAAAGCTATCACTACGCTTTGGAAGGGGCAATTTTTATTTTGCTTGTTTTGAGACTGTATTTTCCTCACTGCTCGTAATTAAAGACTTTTGCTTCTAAAGATAGACCTGAGACTTTCCTTAAAATGGTCACTTGTTAATGATTTCATTATTCAGGATAATGTATTTAGATGTCCTACCAACATTAAATATTATTTCTCAGTGTTTGGGTTTTTTTTTTTAGTAGTTCTTGCTGCCTTCAACTGATTTACTACTTCGCCATCTGCTTCTGCAGTAAAATGGATAATGTGTGTACCTGAGCTTGCTGAATATATACCATCTCAATTTCAGAGTTGCTATTTGAACAGTCTTTGTTAAATAAATAACACAGAAAGAGCATATGTGGAGCTCATAGCTAGAAGTTTTATTTAGTTGAATGCTTTTGTTGCATATTTTATAATGACTTGGCAAAGGAATGATGCAAGAAATCAGCAAAATATGGTGGGGCTAAGAATTTAATAGGGAATGTCAGCATTTTGTCATACAGCAGGTTACGCCAACACATGCGATGCCTGCATTCCATTATCAGAGTGCCAGTTTGAGTCCCAGCTGCTCTGCTTCCAGTCCAACTCCCTGATAATGTGCCTGGAAAGGAGCAAAAGATGGCCCAAGTACTTGGATCCCTGCCACCTACGTGGGAGACCTAAATGAAGCTCCCGTCTCTTAGCTTCAGCCTGGCCCAGCCCTGGCCGTTGCAGCCCTTTTGGGAGTGAACCAGTGGATGGACGATTTTCCTCCCTCTCTCCCTCCTTCCCTCCCCATCTCCCTCTAACTCTGCCTTCCAAATAAATTAACTGAAAGGGGGAAAAAGAAAATTAGGGATGTAGGAGTAGAAGGACAGTCTAATAGGGAGTGCTTGGAAATTATGAAACTATTATTTTTGAAAAAAGACTAAATTATTTTCATTTTAATATGTAACTAAACGGGACTATTTTTAAATTTGTTATTATATGCAGAATCTTCAAAATATTCATGGAAAATGTATGTTATGAAAAAAACTATGCTTGGATTTAAAAATTTTTCACATCAAAATGAACTGATATTATTTTGTAGCATGTATTAACAGGCTCTATTTTGATAAACTAAAAAAGATAAGGAACCAAACTGAAAAGAGCCCTTATCAGAGTAGCATAAATTTTGCTAAAATTGAAGCAAAAACAAACATCAAATTGGCGAGACTTACGTGGAAGAATGGTAAAATCATTGATATTTTACAAAAGTATATGGGGACAATGTCCGAGAAAAATCAGCAGTTTACAAATGAAACATGGCTTTACCAATATTATCCAGAAGACAAAGTACTACAAAGCAAGAGCTCTCAAGAGGTAGGAGTCATCTAGTCAGAGCAAAAGAGGACCCAGCAAGGGCACAGGTCATAGCAACAATGTTTTTGGAGTGGTCAAGGCCTTTTACTTACTGACTTTCCTGAGGGCCAAAGAATGATAACATCTATTATGAGAGCGTTTGGAGAAAGCCAAACCTTTAGTAGAAAAACTCCCAGGAAAGCTTTATCAGACACAACATACTCCACCATAATGTTCCTGCTCATTTCTCACATCAGACAGCAGCAACTCTGCGAGAGTTTTGACGGGAAATCGTTAGGTATCCACCTTACAGTCCTCATTTAGGTCTTTCTGACTTTTTTGTTTCCTAATCTTTTTCTTTAAAAAGCTTGCTTATTTATTTGAAAGAGAGAGAGATCTTCATCCTTTGATTCATTCCCCAAATGGCTGCAATGGCTGGGACAGGCCCAAGACAGGAGCTAGGAATTCAGTCTGGGTTTCTCACATGGGTGCCAGGGGCGTAAGTACTTGTGCAGTATGCCTTCCCAAACCACATTAGCAGGGAGCTGGATCAGAAGCAGAGCAGCTGAGACTTGAACTGGTACTCTGGTATGGGATGCAAGTATCACAAGCCCGTTTAACCTGCTGCGCCACCGTACTAGCCCCTGTTCCTCATTTTAAATCTTTAAAGGGCACCTGTTTTTCTTCAGTTACTAACGTAGAAACAACAGCATTGATATGACTAAATTCCCAGAAACCTCAGTTCTTTAGGGATGGACTGAATTGCTGCTATTATTGTTTACAAAAGTGTTGAACTTGATGAAATTTATGTTGAAAAGTAAAGTTTATATTTTTATTTTTTATGGTATAATTTAATTTTCCAGTAACTTTATGAAGTATGTATACTCTGTATATTCTGTAGAGTTATTTTACGTGCTGCTCTAAAATCAGGCATATCAAAATTTCACGATTTTGAAGTCTTCCTCATTCTCTTAAGTTAGAATGAAGGGTTCCCTACTATGCATCTCCATAGCACCATGACCAAAATTCAAGTGTCGCACTGTTTGTTGAAGGTATTCTCCTGGAGGGTAGTAGTTGAGTATTACTCATCCTCATTTCTCTTAGCATTTATAAAATTGTTGCACATTTTGGACACAATGGATTCTTAGCAAAATGAACTTTTAAAAATGTTGTATTTAACACAGAAAAAAAAAATGATTTGATGCAGAAGCAAGAGGGAATTGGTGTAGGTAGGTAGGTAGCTATCATTGAAGGCTTTTGTATTGCTCTGCCAGACTCAATTAAAGAGCCATTGATCTGCAAGCTATATCCAAGCAAAGTAGAGGTTAAGAGAAAATGTTGCACAATTCAATTTTTTGTATCTTTTTCCTTTGTTTACTTCTTTTTTAGAGACATTAGAAGAAATGGACAGTGAGTTGCTCAAGTGTGAATTCTGTGGGAAAATGGGATATGCTAATGAATTTTTGCGGTCAAAACGGTTCTGCACTATGTCATGTGCCAAAAGGTATTTCTGTGCTCTTGAATTTTCTAAATGTTAAACCAATAATTAACTGTAACAAAACTAAAAAACTCAGATAGTTTATCAACAAACTTAGGAATTATAATACAGAATAATAATATAAGGAAGCATTATTTGGAGCTACTTTGGTATTTAGTTACTAGGTTTTGCTCTCTGAAAGTTATGTATTCATAACACTCATCAGTTTTACAGTATCATCTATTGAAGAAACAAATGCTCAGAATGCCCCCTTTGAAATGATAGAATTTATATAATACTAATCCTTAAGGTATTAAAACAATATTTAATCAGCATTGTTTTATCAGTATAGAAATACTGGTTTTACTTTGTTTTAAAGTGTTTTCATTTGTTTGAACCATTTCCTCTCCTTTTAAGGTTTCTAAGTGAAATAGCTGTACCATAAGTTCCCTACATTGTCAACATTAGCAGATAGCAAAATGCCTGTCTTTTCTAAGTTAATAGTTTCAATAGTAGTTGGTATAGGTAAATAGTATTAATAGCAAAAGAAGTATTTTAGTCTCTACTTTAATCTTGGACTACCCATGTTTAGTTCATATTTTAAAAATTTACTCTGGTTCTGAGTAACACATCGTACTAGTGTAGATATTTACTGCTGAAGCTGAATTGTATGCACAGGTTAATTATTTTGAAATTTGTTCTTTGTTCAAAAATGATTCTCTCAAGAAATTTAAGATCTTAATTGTATGTATACTGGTAATTTAAAAAAATTGTTTTTATTTGGGAGGAGGGTTTCTTATCTGCTGGTTCGCTGCCCCATATGCTCACAATAGACAGGGGTGGGAGCCAAGAACCCAATCCAGGTCTCCCATGTGGTTGGCAGGAACCCAGGTACTTGGTCATAACCTCTACCTCCTGGGTCTGCATTAACAGGAAGCTGGAATTTACTTTCGGAGCCAGGGATGTTCTGATGATGGATGCAGGCATCCTAATTGGCTTCCTAACAGCTAGATCAAATGCCCACTCCTACCCAGGGAATTTCTTTCTTGAACATTTTATTTTGTATGGATGCCACCAAAATATACTTAGTAAAACCCAAGTTAAGTAAGTAATAGAATTATTTTCCTCTAAAAGTGAGCTCATTATTTCATTTGTCAATCTGTTGTTCAAATATTCTTTCATGCTATACACAGACCTAATGTCAAATTGTGTAACTCATATTTTACCTTGAATGTTGTAGTTTGCATATACCACAAAAAGAATGGTGGCTATCTGATTCTAAGTGATTAGAAACTGAAAACTTGGGAAAAGAGTCGCTTTTCAGGATATTTTAAATTTCCTGACTATTTCCAATATTTCAGGACATTTAACACTACCAGCTTTCCTCCCAGAGATTACTGCACAGTTGTCACATTATTAAACTTTGTGTGGGTCTCTAGGGGTTTGTGCCCTAACCCAGAGGAAAACAAATGAGAAGGAGGAAAGTATAAATTAGGTCAAGGAACTGCTGGTGTTTCTATGTTTATATGCTTAGTTTTCTATCTTACCAAAATGTTTAGGGGCTACACATCAAGTACAAAACTAGTCTGCCTTCTTTTCTGTTCTCAATGGGTACAGTAGTTTATCAGTTGATATAAATGGAAATCACAGACATATATTGGTGAACCCAGAAGCATATAATTAAACAGCAGGCATTTTTAAATTTTTTTATTAAAGATTTTATTTATTTACTTGAGAGGTAGAGTTAGAGACAGTAAGGGAGACACAGAGACAGAGGTCCTCCTTCCGTTGATTCACTCCCTAAATGGCCGCAACGGCTGGAGCTGTGCCGATCCGAAGCCAGGAGCCAGGTGCTTCTTCCTGATCTCCCGTGCGGGTGCAGGGCCCAAGCACTTGGGCCATCCTCCACTGCCTTCCCGGGCCACAGCAGAGAGCTGGACTGGAAGAGGAGCGACCGGGACAGAATCTGGTGCTCTGACCGGGACTAGAACCCAGAGTGCCGGCGCTGCAGGCAGAGGATTAGCCTAGTGAGCCGTGGCACCGGCAGCAGGAACTTTTAAAATTATTTTAAGGTAAAAAGAAGTGGCCATCAGGACACTTTTCTGTTTTGGGAGGAAAGTAGTCTATTCATTCTTATTTCTACTTCTTGATATTTTCATTAAACATAGATGGGGAGAGTTTATTTTGGTATCTGTATACTTGTCCTAGAGTAGTTATCAGTGGTAGAATTGATTGGGACTTATTCTTGTAATTTTCTTAGAGCAAAAGAATTTTGAAAATAAGAAATTAGAGAGTTTCATAGGAGAGGACTTCATTCATGGACAATTAATTAAAGTTTATATTGGTACAAAAAAAGCCTGAAATGCATTCATAGCTTTTTCCTCTTTCTCTCCCTCAACCAGTTTGTTTATTTGAAAGGTGGAGAAACAGAAGGAGAACAGAGAGCTATTTTCCATCTGCTGGTTCACTTCCCAAATGGCCACCACAGCTGGGGCTGGGTCAGGTGAAAGCCAGGAACCTGGAACTCCATCTGGGTCTCAAGTGGATGGTAGAGGCCCAAGTACTTGGGCCATCTTTTGCTATTTTCCCAGGCACATTAGGGAGCTGGATTGTAAATGTAGTGTTTGGGACCAGTTTCTCCATAATATACATTTTCCATGAAATTTTTGAATACTTCTTGTATTTTTCTTAGTCTTTTTGCAGCTTTTCAGAAAGTTGCTTCATAATTAATTTCACCTCTTTTTTCTAGAGACTGTTTGGTATACTTGCCCAGGCCAAGTTCTTCCTTTTGTTTATTTTTTGTATAGCCCCTGAGCTATGGATGGCTTTTTAAATTTTTAGGTGGTTGGGAAAAAATGGAAAGAATATGGTATGAGTGAGTGACAGAGAGGCAGAGGCAGAGAAAAAGTCTTCTATCTGCTAGTTCACTCTCCCAAATGGCTGCAACGGCCGGAGCTGGGCCAATCCAAAGTCAGGAGCCTGGAGCTTCTTCTGGGTCTTCTACAAGGTTGCAGGGGCCCAACGTCTTAGTCCATCTTCTACTGCTTTCCCAGGCCATGGCAGAGAGCTGGATCGGAAGTGGAGCAGCTGGGACTTGAACCCATATGGGATGCCAGCACTGCAGTCGGTGGCTTTACCCACTACACCTCAGCACTGGCCCCTTGATGTCATTTTAAAAATGTAAAAAGAATGGTATTTTCTGATACATGATAATGATGTGAAATTCACATTTCTTTGTAAAAATTACATTGTAATACAGTCATGCTTGTTCAGTATTTCTATGGCTACTTTCAAATTATAGTGACTGTAATTTGAGCACTTGTGCCAGGGATTTGTGTGACAACAGCAAAACCTAAAATATTTACTGTCTGGCCTTTTGTACATTTGCTAGCCCTTATTTTAGCATTATAATTAAATTATTAAATTTATATATTACATATAAATATATATTTATATATTATATAATTAAATTATTATTATAATTAGCCCATTATATGGAATATGATTACTTTATAAAGAACTGTCTTAAAAATATCAAATAAATATTTCGATAAAAGTAATACAAGTATTTCAGTCAGTTTTAAAGAATGACAGTGTGAGTATTTGGTGGTAAGATGCTCACATCCATATCAGAGTGCCTGGGTTTGATTCCTGGCTATAATTCTTAATTCCATCTTCCTGCCAGTGTAGACCCTGGGAGGCAGCTGGTTGATGGCTCAAGTAGTTGGGTCCCTGCTGCTGAGTCCTGGATTGAGTTGTTGATTCCTGGTCTCGATGTGGCTCAGTCCTGGCCATTGGACATTTGGAGAGTGAACTAACAGATGGAAACTCTGTTTGCCTCTTGCCTGCCTGCCTGTCTGTCTCTGTCTCTGTTTCTTCATTTAAAAAAAAAATATGTAGTTCTAATTTCCTAAATGGCAACAATGAATTCCTTGTGTATTTTTGAAATCTTAAGTTTACATTTTCAATCTTTGATTTCAGTAATATTTGAAAAATCTTTTAATGGCTGCTTGTGATCCTCCCTGCACTGTACTAACCTCTTTTTATTAATCACTCTTCAAAAATTATTACGTGGGAAAATAAATTTGCATAAACATCTAAATGATTGCAATATAACTTTCACCCTCCTGGAACCTGGATTTTTATTTATTTATTTATTGCTGCTATGAAAATTAGTCATCCTCTGTATTTTGCAAAAAGTTCTATCAGGGAGCCGGTATTGTGGCATAGCGGGTAAAGATGCCACCTGCAGTGACAGTATCCCATATAGGCACTGGTTTGAGTGCCGGCTGCTCCTCTTCTATTCCAGCTCCCTGCTAATGTGCCTGGAAGGCCAAGTGCTTGGGCCTCTGCACCCATGTAGGAGACTCAGAGGAAGCTCCAGGCTCCTGGCTTCTGCCATTGCAGCCGGCCATTTGGGGAGTGAACCAGTGGATAGTAGAACTCTTTCTCTCTGCCTCTGCCTTTCAAATAAAGAAATAAAAAAAGAAAAGCTCTACTATCATGCTGCAGTCAGGAGAAAATATCTATACTTTATTATAGGTGTCCAGTATTATCTTGAGGAATAGTCTATAGTATACACAAAGGCCACTTTTTTTTTTAATATTTTATTTATTTGAGAAGTAGAGTTACAGGGGGAGGGAGAGCAGAGAGAAAGGTCTCCCATCTGCTGCTTCACTCCCCAAATTGCTGCAACAGCTGGAGCTGGGCCGATCTAAAGCTAGGAGACAGGAGCTTTTTCCAGTTTCCCATGTGGCTACAAGGGCCTAGCCACTTGGGCCACATCCTCCACTGCCTTCCCAGACTATAGCAGAGAGCTAGATCAGAAGAGGAGCAGCTGGAACACAGACCAGCACCTATATGGGATGCTGGCACCACAAGTGGATGCTAAGCCTACTAAGCCATAGCACTGACTCCACAGAGGCCACTTAAAAAATTTATTTATTTATTTGAAAGGAGTGAGAGATCTTCGATCCATCATTTACTCTCCAAATGACTGCAACAGCCTGGGCTAGACCAGGCCAAAGCCAGGAGCTAGTAACTCCACCTGGGTCTCTAATGTGGGTGGCAAGAATTCAAATACTTGAACCAGAGTCAGCCGCTTTCCAGGCACATTAGCGGGAAGCTGGATTGGAAGTGGAGTAGCCAGGACTTGAACCAACACTTGGAAGTGGAGTGCTGGTGTCTCAAAACAGCAGCTTAACCTGCTACACCACAATACCAGTCCCACAGAGGCCATTTCTTGACCTCTAGTATAAGCAAATTCATTGAACAAATGTGGTTTACTTTATCAGGTATTACAGTCCTCATGAAGTCTCTGCTAATTACTGATTCACAATTGCACTTTGCCACCATAACTAAATACTCAATGGAGTGTTTGATTTATCATTTAATATTTTTTCTTACTTGACTTTCTTAGGTACAATGTTAGCTGTTCTAAAAAATTTGCACTTAGTCGTTGGAATCGTAAGCCTGATAATCAAAGTCTTGGGCATCGTGGCCGTCGTCCAAGTGGCCCTGATGGGGCAGCAAGAGAACATATCCTTAGGCAGGTCTGTAGAAAACTTGCTTCACTGTACAATACCCTTTTCAGAGACGCAAGGAAAGTGCAATGCTGTATTTTACTTGTACTACATTTTCCAGCTTCCAATTACTTATCCATCTGCAGAAGAAGACTTGGCTTCTCATGAAGATTCTGTGCCATCTGCCATGACTACTCGGCTGCGCAGGCAGAGCGAGCGGGAACGAGAGCGTGAGCTTCGGGATGTGAGAATTAGGAAAATGCCTGAGAACAGTGACTTGCTACCAGTTGCACAAACAGAGCCATCTATATGGACAGTTGATGATGTCTGGGCCTTCATCCATTCTTTGCCTGGTATGTTATTCACAACTTTGGCCTTACTGGTTTTCTCGTGCATTCACACACAGCAATGTTGTTAGATCCATCCACACCTTTTGCACAGAAGGACTAGAGAAGTACTGTGTGTATGTATAAATTAAATGGCATTTGCTATTGAAATGTGATCTGTTTCCTCTTGCTTATTCCCTCAGCACAACTGGGTATTTTCTCATACCCCCCCAAGTCGATAAAAACTGACTAGTCCTGCTTCTGCTGTGACTCCTCAGCCGGTGAAGATATTAAAGGTGCTCTCTTCTCTTCAGTCTGATTTCTCTCGAGAGGTCAGTAGAGAGATTGGATCAGACACTTCTTCCCTTCTGCTCTTCTGTATTTCTATTCTATTTCCTCCTTATTTTCTAATTTTACCTTTTTTAAAATTAAATGAGAGAGACTGATTTTTTTTAAACATTTTTGAAAGCTAATCTAACATTTTAAAATATGGTAAAGTTTTGGTTTCTTTTAAAAAAATCAAGCTGGCTCTTTTAAAGGAAGCTGTATTCTTTGATTCTTTTCAATAAACATCAAGAGCACTTCTGAAATTTTATTTTTTCAAGTAGACAGCTGAAATTCGTGACATTCATTCTAACTCGGAGAGCAACTTTCTTATTTATGTTTTCCTTCTGTAACTCTCATTTTGATACTCTTTCCATCAACTTAAGTCTATCTTTTTTTCTTTAATGCAACAATAATCTTTTATATTCACTTTTTCCAAGGCACTTGTTACTAGACAGTTAGACCTTTGCTCATGATGAGACTCATACTGATTATATATATTATACAGTATATTTTTTAGAATCAGCAAGTCCTTATCATTTATCACTTTGATCTTATGAATATGAAAAATTAAATTTTGTTCCCTCTTGATTTATTATGAATCTCATAATTTCTTTTGATACAAGTTTTCCAGGACACATCTCATTTAAATTTGTCTACCAGGCTTACTGAAATTGAGCTAATTAATTAGCTATTATTTCTAATTAATCTTTCTATGAAGGTGACCAAAGTCTTAGATGTGAACTTACTACTAATATATTGTACAAAAAAATACTTAGAAATACTGACTTTAAAAAAAAAAAAATCTGTCACGCATTTTACCTTATGTACAAAATTCTATGAAGCTTTATTTTATCAATAGCTTGTTTTAGAAATGCTAAATTTTAAAAAAAGAATAAGATATGGTCACTTTTAAAGAAAAATAGAATTATTTAAAAAGAAGATATTTTCTTTATGCAAAGATTTTTAAGTGTGTACATAAGAAAACAAATCTGAGGTAGTTCCAGACCATTGGGCTTAGAATATGCTGTAAATCTAATGTATTGAAGAATGGTGATTCTTCACTGGTTATGGTTGTGATACATAATGAAACACAGTTTGTAGACTAGAATAGCCAGCTTGAGAATTAATGTTGGAGTCTGCTAATCATCTAGTACTGGACTTGGGTGCTGTCATCTTCAGGAGTAGTCTCAGTCTTCCAACTAGGGCATGTGGTCTGTTTGTGAGCCTGGTTTCTCATTTGTGAGAAATATTTCTTTTTTTCTTAGGAGATTTGGTTTATAGCCTGAGGAAAGTAATGGCTCACATAATTAACAAATAATAGCTACTGCTGATTTCTCCTATCAATTCATTTCTTGTTTTAAAGGTTGATTTTTTTCCCAGAATTATTTGCTACTCTTGGCTATGTTATTAGAATGAAGGCTAACTCCTTCATCTCATTCTTGCTTCATTTGAATTTAAAAAAATATAAAAACAGGTTAGTGTTAAACTGGAGATGGTTGTTTTATTGAGTTCATCTAGACACTTAATTTTGTTGTCTGTTAACACTAAAAGGAGACTACTTTTAGAATTTAAAACTGCTTGGTACTGTTTTAGAGTCTGTTTAATGTAAGTCTGTTTTTCTTTATTGATGGCACTGGGAGTATTTCCAAGCTGCTTTGATAGGTCAAATAACAAAGATTATTTGTATGATCAATTATATCACTTTTCAGAATTTTTTTCTGATTAATGCCTGTAGCATAAAGTAAATCTCATATCAGAAAATGGCTTTATCTTCATTTCTTTCTGCTCCTTTGGCCTTTGTAAATTTCCCTTCTGAGCCTCTTTGAGGTTATTCAGAGCTGTTCTCCCTTCTCCAGTAGTCTACTCCTACATTTTTCTCATAGAATGAACAGCTTGTAAATTTTGTAATCTCTTTTATTTCTCTTCATTGAAGATAAGCTTCCTTCCTTCTCTAGGCAGGACACCTGTATTTAATCTTAAAAGTTTTCTCTTCTCCTTATGTATCATCTTGTTAACTGTCCTGGTGGGTCGTGTTAGAGCTTGTATGCAGTATGCCCACATCCCAGAGCTGTTCCCAGAGTCAGCAATTACTGTCTTCTGGTTTTTGTGCATTAAAAAGTTCTTTACAGGAACAAGTCTTATTTTTCAATTAACTGCAAGTTATCTTCAGTTCTTCCTGATCTGGTGAATTGCCTTTTCCAAAGATCAGTTTATTCTGTATTTATTAATCTTTGAAACCATACTAGATGAAATTTCTCTGTAGGCGTGTAAAATAGGATTCATTCAAAAATACATGACCACTTACTGTTTCTGTAATAACCAATTTGGGACTTAAGTTTTTTAGTATTAAATGGCAAGTGTTATTTTTCATCAACCTTACTGAGGTCAGTTTTTGTGCAGGGTGTTTCTGTTTTGGCTGTAGCTGGAGAAGTTACTGGATACTTGGACAGTTCAGTTGGGACCCATGTGCAAACGTCTGCGCCAGAACTGAGAGCTGTACTGCACTTGTTTCTGGGGAGGGAAGCCAGGCCTGCTGGCTGACTGCATCCCTTGGTGTATGTTTTGTACATGTTCCTGGGACTCCAGCTGTTAGACATGAGGCAGTACTAATCAGCAGCTCAGAGAACTTTAGCTCTGTATACCTGGAGCATTTAAAGTGTTTTTAAAATTTGTTTTTCCCTATTGAGTTTCTGGAAGCATAGTTGCTTCTGCTTTTTTTCTCCTTTAAGGCACTTTATGTTTTTATTTTCATACTAATATTAACTATTCTTTTTTGTAGCTGGCTTAAGAAAATTGTGATCTAAAATTCTGAAGATAATGCATTCCTATTTTATCATGCTGTTTCCCCCAGTTTTTGTTCTTTATTATTTTGTTAATGCATTAACCATACACCTACAAAGAAGATATCTGAAGAAGAATCTCACAATACAGAGAAATACAAATATACTATATATTGTCCTCATGGAGAATTCCTTGTTTCTATTCCCAAATGTAGCTCTTATGGCCCTCATTACTTCTCATTGCTCCTGTTTTCCAAATCTAAATAAGTTCTACCCTATCTTTCTCTCTCTTCTCTTCTTTCCTGTGTTCTTGTAAGTCAGACTGAAGAGAGAAGAACATTAGTTGTTTCCTAAAGAGAAGGATGAAGTCACAACTAGATGCAAGATTAGTCAGTTTTGTCTGCCCAGTTTTGTTGAGAGCTACCTCTGGGAAAAGAAAAGGGGCTTTTCTGTGGTGAGTAATCCCATTTCAACTATATAGTTTCTTTTACATGGTGAATGAGCAAAACCATAAACATTGAGAGGTTATTGAAATACATTTTAGCTTTTAAAAGTCTGAGAAATTACTAAAATAGAAAACTGAAAATCTGAGAGCCATTATAGGAAACAATAAAGTGGAAACTAACAGAGGACACTGGAAAAGAAATAACCAAGATGGCATACAGCTGAACACAGGGAAACATGTATTACTCTTACAGCTATTTTTCTGCAGCAGACTGTATTTTTGTTCATTGTTTATCATTTATTCACTCATCCAGTACTTCATTTATTCATAAATATTCACATATGTATTTAGCACCTTTAGTGCTTTGTAATTGGTGCTAGGTTCACTAGGAAAATATCATCATTATGGTAGAAAGGCTAATCATTTCTAGCAAAATTTTGGTATATAAAAGTGAAATATGGCCATTTCCATTTTTCATTACTCTTGTGTTTTGCCTTAGAACACTGATTTGAATAAAACACAATTAACTTTAAGCTGTTAGTTTTTACTTGTAGGTTCATTTTTGTAATTTTATCAGAAAGCTTCTATATTTTTATATTCTCTCCTCTGTTGGTTCATTACCATCCCGTGTTTCCTCTCCCTTAATGGAGATATTTATGGAGTAGCTTAGATGTGCAAAATTTGATAGACAGTAAAAACATTTGAGGTTCAGGTAAATACTCATTACCTGGGAATATACCTGGCTTAAATTGAGAGCTAAATATTGGTTATTGGACGGGAGATTACTTATCAAGCTCCTAATTTCAATATGAATTTGTTTTCTTCTCAAAAGTGGAGATGAGTCTACTGATGTCAGTATTTGAAGTTGAAATTACAGGGTGAGCAGTGTAACAGCATTTCAGCAGCACTGCAGTAGACTGACACTACAACCTTGAAGAGTTTGTTCTGTACTGAGTGAACAATGGTGATATTTCAGATGTCCTTGGCAATAAAGGTCATAAATTCAAATAACAAATAATGAAAGCAGTACTCTGTACTTGAGAAACTCTTATGGGATTATTATTTTTTACGACAGAATATTTTATTCCTCTGGGCCAATGTGTGTAGGATATATTACACAAAGATAAATTCATGAGGTATGTTAGTATTTCTCTTAAGGTCTGTTAATACAGACCTTTTTAAAAGTTTTTTTTATTACTTATTTTATTTGAAAGGCAAAGGCAGAGCGAGTGAGCTTCCATCTACCTTTCCACTTCCCAAATGCCCATAGCAGCCAAGACTGGGCCATGATGAATCTGGGAACGCAGAACTGAATCCAGATCTCCCATGTGGGTAACAGAGACTCAAGACTTGAACAGTCATCTGCTGCCTCCCATGATGCACTAGCAGGAAGCTGGGTTAGAAGCAGAGGCAGACCTCCAGACCAGGCACTCTGAGGGGATGCGGGCATCTCAAGCAGCGTCTTCACCACTGCACCAGATGCCTCCCGCAGGCCTTGCATATGTGTGACTTGCTTTGAGGTGGCACTGTAGACCTTTTCAGGAAGGAACTGTTACATCTGGACTGCTCACTCGGTACATTTTTGCCTGGCTCTTACTAATTATTTTTATACTATGATTTTTAGAGGAAGAATTTCAAGTAAATTACTTTACCTGGATTTCAAATCAATTCTTATTTTCAGAATGCCAACACATACTGTCTTCAAGGGTGAACCTAAGACTACCATAAATAAATTTAATTTGTTTCTCAGTCTATATTTCAGATTCTCAGGTCCAGTGAGAACAAAACTGTGACTGTTAGGAATAATGTTAATTATTGTGTATTCAATTCTGACTTCTTCGTTTGATCAAATTTCAGGCTGCCAGGATATTGCAGATGAGTTCAGAGCACAGGAGATTGATGGACAGGCCCTTCTCTTGCTAAAAGAAGACCATCTCATGAGTGCAATGAATATCAAGCTAGGCCCAGCCCTAAAGATCTGTGCACGCATCAACTCTCTGAAGGAATCCTAACAGGAACCTGAGGCTTTGATATAACAGCTGTTTTACTCTTCTCAAACAGACTTGTAAGGTAAAGGCTTAACTCGGCCTGGAATATTAAACTTTTTGTGGTGGATAGCCAAGCACATTGGGATTTCTGCATCAAATGCTGACATTTCTACAGATAGAATAATTCATCATACATTTTCATTATTAGCCAACATTGGTAAAGTTAATTTTGCAGATTACATGCAACATTAAAAGACTTGGTAGAGAAGACCATGATATTTTTCAAAGAAATGTGTTATACCAGATAATTTTTTAAAAGTAATGCTTATCATTAATATAAAGAATCCTTTTAAAACTAACTTAATAATTTACATTTCTCCTCTTCGTATTTGGTTTTCTTATACATTTTTCTACCCTATTAGTTTTCTAAAAGTTGTCATTAGAGATAAGTTGTGGAATGACTTACAAGTCCAATGACAGAATCATGCAGTGAAACATCAGTGTGCATTTTAAAAAACATGTCTTTTAGACAAATGCTATTAAAAAAGAATTGCGTTCTAGCATGAATAATACTGATCTAGAGGTCAGAAGAATTGGTTTCTGTTCTAAACTTGAGTTTCAGTTTCTGTGCATTGAGAGCAGATGTTCTCCTAGGAGGTCAGTTTTTCCTCCCCAGAGGACAATTAACAATACCGAGAGACATCTTTGGTTGTCATAGCTCAGAGTTAATGTTGGGGAGCGTTGCTGCTGGTGTCTCCTGGGCAGAGGCCAGAGAGGCTGAGTATGTTACAGTGCACAGGATAGCCCTCTGCCACAGAGGGTATCCGGTCCAAAGTGTCAGTAGCGTCCAGATTGAGAAAACTAGATGTAAAAGGAGTGATGATGTTGCTCTTTTCCACCCAGAGGGACGTTTTAAAAAGGCAACAAGGAATATATATACAGTGGGACTGTTATTTAGGTAGTATTAATATTCTGATGAAGTACTTTATCCAGTTTTATGCATACTAGAAAATGGGAAAGAAATCCATAAAACTGACTTGTAAAATAAGGACTAGCATATAAATAATTTGACTCTGAGAAAGGAATGCTTTATATTATCTTTCTTATCTCTCTGCTCCTCTGCACTGATGAAGGCATAATCTAATTATGCTATGAACCAGCGCACTCTTTCTGTCGAGGAAATGGTTTGTAGCAGATAGTGATTGCTCTGTGGAATTTTTCTGATGTTGAATGTGCTGGGTCTAGCTAGAACGCACATTTCTTTTTCCGTTACTAAACTGTTGCATGCTTCCTGCAAAGCACTTACCGAGTGATTTCTGCTGGATGATCAGATCTGATTTTATATGTACATGCTTCAGGGAAAAAAATTAAACAAAACCTTCCCTTGAACAGTTCTATGGAATTATGAAACTAAACCAGAATTGCTTGTAGGAACCCTAAGAACATCGTAGTCCTAGATATGAGAAACTTTTGATATAGAAGGTTTTGTTTTCATCTTTTCCTGTTTCTTCTATGTACCATGTGCTTGAGATAGTTTGCTGATTGCAGGAACATACAGCAGTATTTGGCGGAAGTTCAGTAAGTGGGAAAAGAAGAGTCCGAGAGTTTCATTTTCACTGCTCTTTTCACAAAAATTGTGTTGAGCTAGTAGAAGACTAAGATGTCACTAAAGACATCACAGATATTTATCTTTTGGCTTTGTGTACATTAGAGAATGTTGATTATTTTTATACAAAAATACAGCGGGTAATTTTTTTAATCTCTAGATGCCTCTTGTTTGAATGTATGCTTTGTGGGATTCTTTGTGTAGTAATGTTTAAAAGAGATGTTTACCGATAGTTATGTGTAGGATTAGAAGGTTTAATATAATGTAAGGCTCATATTCCAGACCTACAGTAGGTTGTAATCTATGTTACATATTTCTTTATATCACATTTTAATTACTGGACTGAAGTTTCAAGGAATGGTCAGTACTCAGTAGTCAATTTTCATTTATTAACAGCTAATCATGATTGACAAAGTCATCATATGCTCGACTTTTCCCCTCATCTTGCAATTTCAAAACACAAATGCAGGACAGGCATTAGTAAGAGAGGCCCCTGCATGAAGGAGGGAGGTGCAAAGGAGTCTCCCCTGGAACAACAGCTTTGTCACAGATAATCCACAGTTACTACAGCACTGTTGAGGACAGGCACCCCTGGCGGTAATAGTTACCTCTGAAACCATTTTATTTATAGCCTTTAAGGTACTAACTTCCAAGTGTGTTGTAGGTTCTCTTTTTATTTACTTCCTCTGGGAAGTCATTCTGCACTTATTAAATGCCCCTGTGCCTAGCACAGACCAGAAGGGGCTTACAAGAAGAGTTGCTATTGGAGAATGCCTTATAATCTGAAATGTTACAAGTGGTCACGATCTTCTGTTGTCCCCACTCAAAACATAGCCAGAATACATACTTGCTGTTTTGAGTAGTTTTATTTATAAATGGCTCATTTGCTGTCAACTTTTTGTTCTTTTTTTGATGCAGCCATTTTGTAGATGATCTAATCATCTTCATTTCAAAGCTTCAGCTGTGTGATGGGTATGCAGCTGACACTGCATGTCCACCCCTGTACTGAGTTTTCAGCACTGTTTCAGTATGGTATAGGTAGGAGGGCACTATTCCTTTCCTTTCCTTTCCTGTTGCTAACTGGTTTAGATTTTTATTGGGTAAAGGATGGCAAGCAGAAAAGGAACTTGGGAGGTTCTTTTGCTACTTAAGTTTGCATTTTCTAGTTTCTTTACATCTTTTCCTGTTGAGGGGGAAAAACTGTGTTTGAAATTTTATTTGTTTTAAGCTTGAGTTCCTAGGAAAGTAAACAAACTGAGAGAACTTACTTGTAGAAATTTTTATATAACATTCATATTCATCAAGCCTTGTACAGGCATGTGTAAACACAGCTATGCAGCTTTGATGTGACCAGTATAGTATGAGACAGTGCTATTCCACAACCTGTCACCTTTACAGTGGCACAGAACTATTTCTATGCTGATACCTTTAGGTTTGCTATGGAATTTTCTAAATAGAACATTTTTTCCATCATAGTTTAAGGGCTGGCACCTAGGAGTAGAGAAAGTGGAATGGAAGGAAAGAAATGCTAGTGCCAAAGCTTGAGAAGGAGAAAGAGGCACACAGGGAAGCCTGCCATCTTTATTAGTTGTCATGCACTTCAACATTGAACAAATTTCTATGCTTTTGAAGTGAATATTCATGTCTCACTTAGTTTAAAATAGCATTTATTTTTTTCATAGGTATCCCACTGTTAATTTTCGTTTCCTTATCTGGTGAAGCATTTAAAACTATGAAACAATATGGTAATCATGCCTCTGAATAATTTTTGTGATAATCTTCATATAGCACATGTAAAATTGTAGTCAAACACCCATTCACAGATACAGATCTTTGATTGTAATCTGTCATTGTGTCCCATTTCACTGGCTTGTTCAATTAAATATTTTGAAGCCCATTAGTTACAATTTTTATGGTTTTGTTACCACTGTGGCACAAGAATGACAGGGAAGCCATGTAGGTTTAAGTGTTGGGCCATGTTTACAAGTGCACAGTTTTAGAAAGTGTAAACTGAATGAAGCTGACCTCACAGCCATATCCAGTGGATGAAATTCTCAGCTAGACATTTTTCACTGGAAGAGGCTATTTATTATAGTTTGTGGTTTGAAAACTCAAACGTGCTGCCTCTTCCATTGAGTACTAGCTAGTGGTAGAAAAGACCTCACCTCACTACCCCTAATACCTCCTCAGCTCCAACCAAACTGCATGAAAACTTTATTACAGACCTTTGCCTGAAAGTCCTTAGAGACTTTTGTAAAGGGGCCAATTTTAGGAGGGGAAGCAGCTGGGACAGGACTTTATGAAACCCTGGGCCGTGGAAACTGGCCCATCTATGCAGAATGTGTGCCCAGTTGGTTTCTTGTGCACAATACACGTATGAAACTAGAAGGGCCCTGGGGAAGGTTTTCTGGGAAGAAGTTTGGGGAAGTGGAGGAGGAGATAAATAGAAGAGAAAAAGCATTCCAGACCGTAGAGGATAGCACAGTTAAGTGACGCTGTTTAGTATAGATTATGGCTTTCATCAACAGTTTGACATAATAAATCACTGCTGGATCCCAGTCAGCGCTATAGTTTTTATGTCAAGATTTACCTATAATCAGACTCACTCTCTTAACTTGCAAGCATAGATACTGATAAGTTCTAGTGATACAAAAGTTAATGATAGTTGTTTTCTGAAAAAGGTGACAGCTGTTACAGTTGAAGAATAGTTGTCAAAAACGTAAAGGCTGATTCTTATGAGTTGTCAGAATTACAAAGGCAGGTTTCCATTTTCAGATACCACAGCTGAACCAGTCTTGTAGATTATTACAATGAAAGGCATTTTGAGATAATATCTTATTTGTTTGGTTGTGTCTCAGTCTAAGAATTGGATGACTAAGAGCTACAGGTTTCTCTTTACTAGTCTGGATTTTCAGTAAAAACAAGCCTACCTCTATTTCTTTTGTGCACAGCAATGTGGATCATGAAATGAACTATTTAACCCAAATTCATTAATACTGGCATTTTGTAATCTATTTAGAGCATTTGATTTTATTTCAAAGGTTGTAATTCAGTACAGATAAGCACAAGCATAGTGTTAGGAAAAGTAAATATGCAATCTTCCTGAAACTTAATTTTGACCCATTTAAGCTATATACGTCTTTAAAAAATTCTTTGGGGCGATACTCCTCTTTTGTTAGAAGTTCATAAAATTTATCACCATATAGTTTCCTTCATAGCAGCAGAACAAGCCATTTCTTTAGTCAAAAAATTTAAAATTATTCTTTGAAAGGTTTCTAAATTTTTAAGATTCCTGAGTTTTGCATATTATTTTTAGAGCTTAATCTACTGTAAAACTATACTATGAGAAAGCTTTATTTGAGAGTTATAGTAAGGCTTGAATGCAAATATTATTATCACCATCATATTGTAGAGAAAACATCTGGCTTTTTCTGAACTTACTTTAGCAAACATGCATTGAGAGGGAGTCCACGCCCTCCTTTTTCTACCTGAAACCCAGCTTCTCTGCAGACTCCCCTCTCTGAGAAGCGTGCGCACTCCCCACCAGTGTCATGTTTATAGTATCTTTTGGGAAAGGTTTTCCACAAATGTCTTATTTCTTTCTTTTTTAAAAAAATAGCGTGTGGATGTTGAATTTTATTAAAAGATGACAATTTTAGAGATATTAGAGAAGAGGTAAGAATGAGCATTTGGCTAATACTCTAAAATTATTTTTTGCTGCCTTTCAAAAATGTAATTATTGCTTTGTGATACTGAGTAGTATTCAGTATGAATCAAGAAGACAAAGTGTGCTGCTGAAAAGTAGTAATGAATGAATTTTACTTTGGGAGAACCCGTATAATTTTGAAGCACTGTTATGCTACTGGCATAATTTTAATTAGAGAGTAATATAGTAAGTCCTTTTAGACTGCCTATTCAAATTAGCTTCATAATCATTCTTTAAATTTTAGCTAAATATCATAAGGGTTAATAGTAGCCATTATTTATTGGCTTTAAAGCTATAGTTTATGGAATAGTACCAGTGTTAATTCCATGTTTTGTGGAGCTTAAATTGATGGCATGAAGAAGTTGGTGTTTATAAGAGAGTGGTGGAGCCTGAAATAAACATCAACCTATTTTAGAAAGAAGGAGTTTTTAGTCTTGCTTCAAACCAGACGTGTCCAGTGTTTAAAATATTTGTTTGGAATGCTTGTCTTAAAAGTATTTTTTCTTTAAGTATTAAATAATGAGTAAATAACTTACTTCAGTAGTAAGTGACAGGTTAATATACCTATTGAATTAACATGATGAGTAAAAATAAAACACATTGGTCTAAAGATTGGGGTTTTACTTTGTTGGTTAAATAGTTATGTATGACACTTTGGGCAATGATTTCGCTTTTAACCACCTCTAAATATACAGTATGGTGCCTCCAGTATTCACAGTGTTGATTTTGGCTTAAGGTACCCCCTAGCTCTAAAACTATAATGCCAGACCATATAATGGGACATTTTTAAAGTTGTTCCTACTTTCTTTCCCTTTTTAATGCTTCATTTTATACTTAAGAGCTTTTGCTAAAAGATGTTTATGAAGCAGACATTTCCTGGGCCATCTACAGTCTTTGTTCTCCTAAGGATTAAGGCAGAAAATTCAGACTAGCAAATGAGGTTTTTCTAAATGCTACATATTGGCTAACCACTGACCATGTGAACACATAAGAATATTGTCATTCATGCACCTAGGCATTCATTTATAAAGCAAACAATTTGAATCCTTACATGTACAACGTCGGCAGTGTACATGACTTAAAGAACTGTTAATAAGTAAAATCTTCCCAAACAAAATTCATTGTGGCTTAAGTAAACATGGACACAATTGCTACCTAATATACTGACTGTAAACTTGGAATGGGAGGAATTTTTTTATGCATTGGCTAGATGACAGCTAAGTGGTCCGAGTTAGTCACACCACAATTCCTATAACATGGTTCACACACTAGACATCAAATGACCATATGTTTGATTAGGTTACAAAATTAAAGCTGCCTAACTTTAAGGACTTAACATTTTGATACTCTTGTAGTAATCCATATTCCACAGCAGTATTTGGACACTTGATTCTGTTCTAGAGTTATTGTTGTATGCCATGTATAGTAGAACGAAAGAAGCTGGTGTTGATTTACTGTACATTTTTATTTACAAAACTTTTAAACTCAATATTGAAAATGCAGCAACTTTTCAAAACCAAAAAATCTCAAAGGTGATCTCTGGGACAGGTTTGGGTTTTGTTTGTTTTTAAAGTAAGAAAGATCACACAAAATAAATTGTATTATAAAATTATTAGAGATGCCCAGCTTTTTATATGTGTAAGCAGCAGTATTTTTAGAAAGTATATTTACTGCATAGGAAAAGGGTATCCTGTAAAATGTGGAGCTGGTAAAACGCAAAACAGTCCCATGTTGAATTGCCAAGTATTTGGGAAGAAAACATTAAATGGGAGAATGAATCATTAATTGGGTAAAATTTCCTTCTTGTGCTGGAATTCTGTGACCCACACTGTAATACCTGTTGTAACAGCTTTAAATATTAATAATCAGTTGGTAGTAACATTCTTCATAAAGACAAAAAATGAGAATATATTTTAAATCCTTTTGTGTATCAAAGTTATAGCTTTTAAAGCAGGAAACTATCCAAATAAATGTTGGATTAGAATTTACATTAGAATCTTTCAAACTGACTGAAAACAGAAACACTAACATGTAAGTAGCCAGTCTGGATTTTAAAAAACTGTCCCATGGTTAAAAATTACCTTTATAGTGTTTTAATTTTTTTAAAGTGTACCTAAATTTTCAAATGTTTTTGCTGTTAAAATCTTTTGCATAAATGCTTTTTTTTGTATATGCAATTTTAAGTTTTCAAAAGTCAACTGAATATGTGTGAAGATAGTATAACTTTTCTTTGTATTACTTCCAAGTTGGATAACTACATTCCTAATCACCTCACTTAAAGGCTTATTATTCTTTTTGTTTTTTCCCATATGGAGGAAAAAAAGTCAAAGTAAGTTCCAAAAAAACTACCCGCAGAGTAAGGCTTATGCCTGTAGTGAAGGTTGGAAGCTGTAGATAGCAGTACACAGGCATGGATACCGACACTGGTGGCAGGCATTTCAAGTCTCCACTAAATTCCTACTTTTTGTCTTCTTTTAAAGAAAGGCAAATGGTTGTGATAAACTTTGTTGTTGTTTTAATTTTTGATGCTTCAAGTGCATGGTTAACTGATTTGTAAAAACTTCTTCCTTTTGGTTCCTCCCGTTATTCTAAAGTAGAATTTTTATATTATTAAACTTCAAAAGATAATCTACCCAGGATGAACAAACCATCACCAAGGGGAAAAACTTTTTTTTTTAATCTTTACAGAAAACAAATGTTAAGATTATGTAATAGATGTATTCTTTACATTGGCTGTTGTATTAGAGTTCTCACAAAAAATGAAATAGTTTTAGCACTCTTAGCATTAGAGTTCCTTGATTGGTGTCTATAGCTAGTTTAAAAATGTATATCCTGAAAATGAAGTTAATTTTGCATCAGAGCACACCATGATCTATGTAAAAAGTGTCCATTTGGTGTATTTTTTTAAAAGAGAAAGCACTTTCATATTACGAGTAGCATGTGTATGAATTTTAGATTTTCCTATTTGTTGTGTCTATTCAGTGAAGTAAACTTGAGCATTCAAATGTTTGTTGATGGCAACATTAACTATTAAATTAAAGCACCTTATACTCTGCTGCTTAAACTTGCTTGTAATTGCACCTTTGTTCCCTGCACATTTTCACATAGAATATTGTTGTAACATTGCTCCATGTGGGTCTGGATGGAAGATTCATGGGCCTCCAGGATCATTTATTTATATTGTTTATATTCAATAATATATTGTAGACCAGTTGTAAGTTCATTTCTTTACAAATAAAAGCCTCTTCCATTTGGCTGTCTATTGAATAATTTTTTTTTGTTTATGAGACATAAGAAATCTTCTAAGTAAAGTAAAAAACTTAGGGACTTGGAATAGTTAAAAATGCTTCTAATTTAAAATCTGAAAAAAAATATTGCTAATAAAATTTAATGTGTTTTAAAAAATTCAGTACCATTTTATGGTCAATTATTAGGGCATAACCTTCAGAAGAAAAACCAAGTGAAGGGGGCCAGGTTTAGACTTTCTGAACTGTTTAAATACTCTGTTGTTCTCTTGACTATAGGATTATTTCTACTGAATGTTGGCTACAACTGGCTTTCCATGCATCTGGTTTTTATATAACAATGTGATTTTGTTGTTGTTGTTCTAAATGTGCCATCCATGTTCTTTATCCAGTGTCTTTTGTTAACAGATCCTGCCCACTGGAGTGGACATATGAATCAAGTTAGGACAAACAATCATTCCCTGAGATTTTATATTTGAAGCTAGAGGATGCTTTAAGCTGGTGTGATGGTTTGAGTGTATTTTCTGCCAAGGGTTCATGTACTAGGAACTTTGGCCTTGCCATGGCCATATTGAGATGTGGGTTGCAAGACTGGCCCCTCCCTGGGCTCTGGCTTCTTGTCTCATCATGTGATCTCTTCCCTCTTGCCTAAGCTCACATGTTCTGATGCCATCCGCCACGAGGTGATGTAGCCAGAGGGGCGCGGGGCCTTCGCAAGAGGCAGCATTGTGCTGTTTTAACTTTCAGCCTCAAAAAGTGTGGGCTAAATGAACTTCTTTTCTATGTAAGTTAACCCAGTCCCAGGTATTTCATCACAGTAATGAAAAACTAACACAGCTGGATAATAGTTCTGAGCTTTGGCAGCCAGAACGTCCATCAAACAAAACAAACAGATAGCCCAGAGAGGTTCTTCTAATAGCTTACCCTGTCCTTTTTCCAGTATTCAGCTTTCCAGGTTGGAATTACAGATGAGTATCCCTTATCCCTGAAATGCCTGAGACCAAAATGATCTCATATTTTATAGTCTTATAGATTTTCAAATATTTACATAGACTGGTTGAACATCCCTAATCCAAAAATATGTAATCTACTCAGTTTCAGGTTTTGGACTATTTCACATTCGCACATTGGGATGCTCCACCTGTACTTGGAACTCGAAGGACTCCTAATTATCTCCCAGCATTTCCCAACTTGTCCTTCAATGGCTAATGCTTACTGAAAAGTCCTGTGAGCTCAAGTAAATGGATTTCTTCACTGTGGGCCTTCAAAGCCTTAGAATGTTCATGGGCATTGTGCATTTTTGAGTGAAACAACTTTCTTTCCATTTGACTGAAACAGTCTGCTCTTTTGCAAAACAACAAATGACTGGTGAAAGGCAGGGTGGTGTACTGTAAGGAGCATGAAATCTAGAAGCCACACTTCTGAGTGTTGGTCCAGAAGGTTGATCTTGAGTATCTTAATTTCAATGTTTTAATTTATTCGTTTGTCATAAGGGGGGAGAATAACAGTACCCATTAGAGTTGTTGTGAGGACCAAATCAGTTGCTGCACATAAAATACTTAAAATAGTGCCTTCCCGAGTCTTTGCTATGATTAGTGCTTCATAGCACTGCTTTTAGTGCATTTTCCAAATAACGGGACGTTACCTGTAGATTATGAGCTTGCTTTAGTGGGCCACAACCAGCACTTTAAAAAATGACAACGTAGGCCGGCGCCGCGGCTCACTAGGCTAATCCTCCGCCTTGTGGCGCCGGCACACCGGGTTCTAGTCCCGGTCAGGTGCCGGATTCTGTCCCGGTTGCCCCTATTCCAGGCCAGCTTTCTGCTGTGGCCAGGGAGTGCAGTGGAGGATGGCCCAGGTGCTTGGGCCCTGCACCCCATGGGAGACCAGGAAAAGCACCTGGCTCCTGGCTCCTGGCATCGGATCAGCGCGGTGCGCCGGCCGCAGCGCGCCGGCCGCGCCGGCCATTGGAGGGTGAACCAACGGCAAAGGAAGACCTTTCTCTCTTTCTCTCTCACTGTCCACTCTGCCTGTCAAAAAAAAAAAAAAAAGACAACGTAAAAATGCATCTGCGTCTGCAGCCACATACTGGCCTTCCAAATTCAGAGGTAAGACGCCGAATGGGAAATTCTCACAGCGGCTCTACTTTGAGTTGTGGTCTGCTCTCGGCTACTCGCCTGAGGCCTTTCTACTCTCATAAAAGTTATAGTATTAGACACTAACCATAACTCCTACTTAAGGCTTTTAGTCTCTATGGACACTGTGTCTGGGCAACAGTGGGTGTGAGTGACTACTCTACCTCTGTTTCCCTTCTACAGGCTAAGCCATGGGCTCGAGTGGGCGCTTGGGTGATGACCCCACCTTCTGCTCCCATATCCTCTCACTAGTCAGACTGCTGGGATTCAAGGACACTTAAAATCCATGGATCTGACTCTACAGGTCACAATGGGAACTTTTCTCTAACTGCATTCCGTCCGATTCTCCTCTTGGTAGCCTTTTAAGTCCCCCTCAAATTGGCTGTAGCCCTCAAACACTGATGCTTTATCTTTCTCTGTAGTCGAGCATGGCCCACGTATGACCTTAACAGTCAATCAAAATGGGCCCCTCCATGGGGGCGAATTTGGCCCTGAGGGATCGGCCCAAAGTCAGAGTGGTTTGACCCTGATATCATTCAAGATCTTTAGCACTTCTGTGAGCGTTTGGGAAAATGGAAAGAGATTCCATATGCTCAAGCTTTTCTATCTTCAATCTAAACCTTCTAAAAAGACCTGTTCCTGAACACGTGGCGCTCTCTTTCCTCTCCTTGCTAGCTCCTCTCTGTCTCCCTCACACTCTCCTCTCTTTTCCTTCTTCACCCCTTCCCTCTGGTCTGCTGGGTTTTCCCCCAATAAACCCTTTCCCTTAAAAAAAAAAATGCATCTGTGCTTAACATGTAAGGGTAAGTATTGCTATGACATACACATTTCTGTACGTGTATAAGTAAATATGTGGGTCATGATGTAAAACCATGTGCCTTAATGTGTCAAAAAAGGCACTAATTCTGGATATGCTAAGTTAGATTCATGCAACATGTATTAGCATTTACAAATGAAATCAACGTTTACTTCATAAAGTGACTTGAGATTATTTTGCTATTTTATTTCAGTGGTTCTTAATGGGGGTAGTTGTGCCCACCCACCATGAGAGGTTGGGCAGTGTGTGTAGTTTATTGTCACTGCTGGCACCTGGGGGCACAGGGCAGGGATTCTGCCAAGTATTGCTACAAAGCCCAAGGCAGATCCTGCAACAAAGAATTACCCAGCCTCAAATGTTAATAATGCTGGGTCTGAGAAACCCTTCTGTACTTTTACAGTGTGGGATTTGCTGATGTGATTATGATTTGAGATGCCAGTACATGATACAGAGTTGTGACTAAAAATGAATCAGGTAACACTCATGGAAAGAGACATGGTTGCTATTCGCAGTTCTGTGTGAACTCTTCCCTATGTTAAGGTTTACACCAAAATAATCTTGATTTTCTTGGCTCTGAATTTAATAAAAGGTTTATTTAACTTTATGTATTAAAGTTGCAGTGAAATTTTAGAATTACACAACATTTTGCACTTAATAGTTTTGTGGGTGACAAACATCAGTGTGGCCAAATGTTTCATTTTTGAGTTAATAAATTAGTATTTTTAATATACAATGTTTGTGGACAAGTCTAGAAACTTCCTGGAGTTGTATTTTTGAAAGAAAACACTCTTTAATACCCATCAGAACTGCAAAAGACGTAGCCTGGAAAAGCACGGGAGGAGGAAAGAGCTGCAGTTCAGTTCATATCATTCTTTCCCTTAAGTCTCAAGTAACTTTAACATGGCAGCATACTAACATGTGATTACTGACATAGGCTTTTCAATTTGCTCAAAATTAGGAACTATAAGTGGAATAAAGCAGCATTTCCAGTTCACAAATGGATCTACAGGTAACACAACATCTCTTAAATTAAGCTTGTGACAATTAAACCAATAAATTGTAGCAATGAGGAAGCTATTGACCAAGTACAACCAGGGAATGTTCAGATCCATATATGCTGGTATCTGTACTTTAAGTAAAAGAATGATTACTTGAAGTAGTACAAATGGTAGCCAGGTACCAAGAAAACAGACAATGAGTTTGGACAATAGTACTTTTTTAGAGTTCACGTTATAACTAGAGTGGGATGAAAAAGGAAAATATAGGATAGTCTCATTCATATAGGAAGTTATTCTAATAGCCTGTACCAACGTCATGACCTCTGACCAAGAGGTTATAAAAGCTGCAAGTAAAACCAGCACCATGGCAAAGGCCAGCCAGTAACTCTGACTGCTGATGTAGAAAGGACACTGAAAAGAAAAACCATTCTGTGTCTTCAGGCTTTGGTCAATGGATGGATCTCCCAAAACATAAGCTAGGACTGAAACCCAAGTTATAATTACTATAAAGAAATAAAGTAATTTTTGACATTTAAATGACAGCATGGTGGTGTTAGAGAAATGCAGGCAATAGTCGATACAGGCTATCAGGAAAACTGGATAATGCAAAAAGCCGTAAGTAAAGGAAATAATTTGAGTAAACAGGCAGATGTGGTATTTAGTAAACCGAATGCCCAAAAGTACAAAATCCCTGTAATAGGATATAATGGAAATGTTTACCAAAAGTAAAAGATCAACAAGTGCTAGAGAAATACAAAAACATCCCATAAAGTTTTCATGGGTGTTTTTTCTTCTCATTGCTAGCGTGACAATGTTTAGAAGTATTTTCCCGAGTATGATCAAGAACAGCAGACAGTTAGCATCTAGGGGCTGGTTTGTCTGATGTAACTCATACTGAACAGCACAGTTCTCTGAAGAGAGAGCGGTCATTTTTAGTTAAATTTCAAGAAGACCTGCTGAAATACAGGTCACAACACTGCTTCACTTTATTTTCCATCCCTGCAAAAAAAAGGGGGGGGGGGAGAAAATATTGATGTTATCTTGATGCTATCTATCTCTACCTTAAAACTCTACAAAAGCAAGCACCCTTATTTCTAAAATGTAACTTAATGCAATCCTTTCTCCCTGAACAATTGATGGAATAAATAGTAATTCTATTTCCAAGAAGACTTACAGAATAAGAACATGTTCAAGAGGAATTAATGTGTAAACTCCGGTAGTTTTGAGGCCTAAATGGTCAAAACTCCCAGATCTTTATACCAAAGTGTTATGTATCAATTGCTAACTTCTAAGTATAGGCTTAATAACTTAGAAAAGAGGTAAGAGAAGTACTTTTATCTATTAGAGCCAAAACACATGCCTAACATATCAGCTTGATAGTAATACTCAAAATAATTGCTGAGAACTCCTACCCCAGTCCCATTCTGACTCCACATTCCCCAAACACCCCTTTGTAAAGGCTACGCTTAGGGGGCCAGCAGAACTTTCAGGTTAAAATCTTTGAGCTTCAGACAAAGATAATTAAGCTGAAAATCGCAGAAATGTAGAGAGAGAAAAAGATTTACTTTAGGGATGTGACTTTTTAGGTGATAAAGCCTGAAAGAACAAGAGTATAAGGAAGAGATGGAGAACATTTACAAATGGGAGGTAAAGGCAAAAGAACAGGAGTTGAGGCTTGAATGATGACTCCATTTGAAATCAGGAAAGAATGGCAGAAGAATCCACCTTTTTTTTTGGACAGGCAGAGTGGATAGTGAGAGAGAGACAGAGAGAAAGGTCTTCCTTTTGCCGTTGGTTCACCCTCCACTGGCCGCCATGGCTGGCACACTGTGGCCGGTGCACCGTGCTAATCCGATGGCAGGAGCCAGGTGCTTCTCCTGGTCTCCCATGGGGTGCAGGGCCCAAGCACTTGGGCCAGCCTCCACTGCACTCCCTGGCCACAGGAGAGAGCTGGCCTGGAAGAGGGGCAACCGGGACAGAATCCGGCACCCTGACCGGGAATAGAACCTGGTGTGCCGGCGCCGCTAGGCAGAGAATTAGCCTAGTGAGCCACGGCGCCAGCTCAAATTCACCCATAAAAAAAAAAGTCCAAAAGGTATTGCTCTTCAAAGCCCAAACAGTAACAAACCCATCTATATATGTCAGCAACTGGAGAGGGGTTAAAAATACATACATCATTGTGCACTGTTGTGTGCACCCATTACAAGTATTTCTCAGGATAGGAGGAAATCTTCATTTACATTCCATGTTTTGTATACTTAAAAAACGTGGTAAATTTCCACAATTTGTGAAATACAAGTTTCAAAATTATTTAGTAATATGTCAGGTAAAGATACACACATCTATGTAGTAGTATTATGTTTGTAGGTCTTTTTGTAGTTTCGATAGAGTTTGGAAATACAAAGCTGAATTTGCCTAAAAGCAGGTCGCTGATGGCTACACAGTTCTCAAGGGAGTAGTGAAGTCACTGAGGATAAAGAATTCAGTGTTGACAGAGTGAACCCTTTCTCTCATGGTCATATAGCTACTGTGTCACAAGCTTGTTTATTAAGGTACACAAATAATGTATGTCTCAATGCATGCTCGCTCACTCTCTCTCACATACATATATATATATAAATTCCTAAGCAAACTTCAATCAGGTTTATTTTGGTGGAAAAAAAGTTTGTGGGGGAAAAAGCTGTGCATGGATTTCAAATTGAAGATACCTTGTATAGGTATAAAGTAACTGGTCAAAGTACTTGCCTATATGCAAACATCCTACAGCTTAACTTGACCCCATCTGAAAAGTTCCATTCCAAGTCTGATATACAAGGGTACAGAAACCTAAGCTGCCAACTTGACAATGCCACTGGCCTTGAAAGTGGTGTTTTTCTTGGATAAAGCTTAGACAGAATAAGGCCATTTGAGATTTTCCTCCTGCCCCCTTAAAAAATCAAAGACCCATTATTGATTTAAAATAGGGGTGAGGTAGGTAAATGTCATAGGTTCATATTCATAAAGACCCACTTTTTTGGGGGGGGGACAGAGAGACAGAGACAAAGGTCTTCCTTCTGTTGGTTCACCCCCCCAAATGGCCACTACAGCCGGTGCGCTGTGTCGATCCGGAGCCAGGAGCCAGGTGCTTCTCCTGGTCTCCCATGCAGGTGCAGGGCCCAAGGACCTGGGCCATCCTGCACTGCCTTCCCAGGCCACAGCAGAGAGCTGGACTGGAAGAGGAGCAACTGGGACAGAATCCAGTGCCCCAACTGGGACTAGAACCTGGGGTGCCGGCGCCGCAGGTGGAGGATTAAAATTTGGATTCTACTCAAAATCCGAGTCAGGAAAGCTAAGTAGACCCCATACAAATGGTGGTTTCACTCCACTTCATCACTGACTCCCACAGGGGAAGGCCAGAAAAACATGGCAGCCCCTCAAGGAGAACTCTTAACGTCACCAGAGGCGAGAGAAGGCCACAGAGGAGGAGCACCAGCTACAGACTGAGGCAACCAAGAAGCTCTTAGAAGAAGCTCTTTGGCCGGCGCCGCAGCTCACTAGGCTAATCCTCCGCCTTGCGGCGCCGGCACACCGGGTTCTAGTCCCGGTTGGGGCGCCGGATTCTGTCCCGGTTGCCCCTCTTCCAGGCCAGCTCTCTGCTGTGGCCAGGGAGTGCAGTGGAGGATGGCCCAAGTGCTTGGGCCCTGCACCCGCATGGGAGACCAGGAGAAGCACCTGGCTCCTGCCATCGGATCAGCACGGTGCGCCGGCCGCAGCGGCCATTGGAGAGTGAACCAACGGCAAAGGAAGACCTTTCTCTCTGTCTCTCTCTCTCACTGTCCACTCTGCCTGTCAAAAAATAAAAAAAAAAAGAAGAAGAAGAAGAAGAAGAAGCTCTTTGATTCTAAGGGAATCAAAGATGGAAGAAAAGAAAAATAAGACCTAGGGAAGATGTGCAAGAAGAAGAAATCCAAAGGAAACAAAACAGCAAATATGGATACCACGATCATGGAAACCAGTCATGCTTTCCCAGAGGAGGCAAATTTTATACTTTCTGACCCACTTCCCCAGTAGATCGCTAAAACTATTCAAAATGGCAATATTTTGTTCTTTAAACTGGTTCCCGGGACAAGACAAATCCTTTGGTAAGCTACCTGTCCCAAATTTTCCCTTCAAAAGGAATTCATTGGTTTTAAGACTTGGTACTTTTCCTGCATGATGTTTTGAACTACTTAGGAAACAACTCATGAGCCCCATGTGTAACCTAAAAAGTTACTGTCAAGGCATCTTGTCTCTTCCCTGACCATGCTTGGTGGTCTGGCTTGGTCTGAAAGCATTCTGTACTCTATTTAGAATGCAAATCAATTATCAACACGCCATACTTACTCTGTCTCAACTGATGATCTTCCTATTGCGTTTTCGTTTTACTGCCATTGATTATGTTACTTTGGCTCCTTGCATTTCACTTTTCATACCAAAATGCCACGTGAGGAAGTTCTGTATGAAAAAAAAAAATCCATCATTAATAGCCATCACTGGAGTCCAGTGTGACGGCTGTGTAGAAAAAACTCCGTAGAAGACTGCAACTAACTGCTTATATAGAATTCTTAGTTTCTTTTCAGCCAAAGGAAGAAAAGGGTACTTAGGCTGAACTTCACTGGCGTGGGCGTTGTGCAACAGGGTAGGTCCCTGTGTCAGATGCCTGCATCCTGTATCGGAGTGCTTCCCCTCTGGCTTCCTGCTAATGCATTATGGGAAGCAGCAGATGATGGCTCAAGTACATAGGTTCCTGCCACCCACCCATGAGACCCAAGTGGAATTCTAGCCCTTTGTTTTTTTAATGTTTATTTGTACTTGCTTCAAAGCCCACCAAAGACTGCAAGATGTTAGTGCACACTACAGCAGGATGTAAAGAAACCTGCAGGCAGTTCTGAGACTCTGATTTCAGGACATTTTTTACATGTGAACATACATGGAAAATTACTGTATTTTCTTAAAAAATTGAGAACAAGGTGGAACAAGATGGTGGCTAAGACATGCCAGTGGCCAGCTGCCCCATTTGTGTACATCAAAAGAACAAGAGAAGCCAGGTGCGAGACCCAGAACATGGTTTTCATACGATAGTAAAACATCTGAAGAAGGCAGGAAGAAAAGGCTGGCGTGTGTTACCCCTCCCCCATTTCCAGATACCACGGCGTGGAGAGACAAGCCTCTCAGGAGCAGGAAGGAATTAAGTCGAGTAACTGTCACTTGCAACCCACTACATGACCCACCATAATAAAAACCAGTGCTGGCCGGGGCCCCACAGCTCCTGTCCCTATGCCTGTACATGTAAATTGTCTTCCGACCCTCCTTAGCCAAGTCTACCACCCCTTCCCTACCTTTCAGCAGACCACAGAGCAAGACTCCAGGCAATGGGTAGGAGGGTGGGAAAGAGAATTTGAGATTTCGCCCTAGAGCCAAGGCCAGCACCTGAGACCCAGCACCTGATAAAGCGCAAAGGCTTCTGCCTGCAGGCCACTGCTCACAGATGGGAGCCTCTGGAGTTGCTCCAGCAGTAGGCAGAGATTTGTGCCCTGATGGGACAGGCTCCTTTTTGGCAGGCATCCCCACCAGCCTCACGTGGGCCTTGTGTGCACTGCTGACTGCACAGGGCCTGAGTGCGACCCAGCTTAGTGTCAGTCTGGGTGGCCAAGGAGTTGCCTTTACCACTTCTCCACTAACCTTGACAGATGGTAAGGAGCCATAGGACTGTGTCTTGGTGCCCAGTGCAGAGCCGATAAACACCCCACACTGGGCAGATCCTAATGGTCCCTGTCCCCAGGCCAATGCCAGCAGGCAGCCTCTGGATTTACATTCCAGCCATTTAGTCCTAATGCAATGCAGTGCTATGAGGAAATGAGATCCAGGTGTGATCTGGCTCTCCCACCCATCCCACCCCTGAAGAGAGGCTTGTAGGGACAAACTCCCCACTCTGAGCAGCACATAAACTGATTTCAGGCAGATCTAGGCTCAGAGAATCACTGACAGATGATAATTTTTAAAACTCAGAAATCTTTGAACTGAACAGTCCACCAAATGAAGTTAAAATTCCAAGAGGTACCAATAGCAGAACAGATGGAAACAGGAAAGAATCTGTGAGCTCAAAGACTAAAAACAGAGAAGTTGAGTAGGCACTGAGACATGGTGGGTTGAGCTGCCTCTCGGGACACCAGCACCCCATATCACAGTGCCTGGGACTGAGCGCTTCCACTTCTGATCCGGCTTCCTGCTAATGGGGCTGAGATGCAGCAGAGATGGCCAAGATTCTTCCAGGTCAGCCTGGCCAAGCTCTGGCTGTTGTGGGCTTTTGTGGAGTAAATTAGCAGATGGAAGATCCCTCTGTCTCTTGTCTTTCTGCCTTTCAAATAAATTTTTAAAAAAAATGCGTAGAGGGCCAGCGCCGCGGCTCACCAGGCTAATCCTCCGCTTTGTGGCGCCGGCACACCGGGTTCTAGTCCCGGTCGGGGCACCGGATTCTGTCCCGGTTGCCCCTCTTCCAGGCCAGCTCTCTGCTGTGGCCAGGGAGTGCAGTGGAGGATGGCCCAAGTGCTTGGGCCCTGCACCCGCATGGGAGACCAGGGTAAGTACCTGGCTCCTGCCATCGGATCAGCACGGTGCGCCGGCCGCAGCGCGCTGGCCACGGCGGCCATTGGAGGGTGAACCAACGGCAAAGGGAGACCTTTCTCTCTGTCTCTCTCTCTCTGTCCACTCTGCCTGTCAAAAAAAAAAAAAAATGCGTAGAGAAGAATCAAATTAAAAAAAAACATGAAAATTTGGGGACATTATGGGAAAAAAGTAAATATCCGAGTTGCTAGGATTCAAGAAGGATATAAATATTCTAAAGGGGTGGAAAGCATATTCAAAGAAAATAGAAAATTGTCTGAACCTACAGAGAGACACAACTATTCAGGTCTAGTAAAGTTAAAGGTTACCAGCATAGTCAACCAAGTCTGTCCCCAAAACATCTAACCAAGCTCTCCCAGCTTAACGATAAGAAGATTCTCAAAGCTGCAGGAGAAAAAAAGAACACTTACAAATGTCCCAGTTTGTGTGGTGCAGACACTGAAGCAGAAACCTTGAAAGCCAGGAGGAAGTGAGATGAGACTTTGTAGTACTGAAGGGAGAAAACGGGAGGAGGAGGAGGAGGAAGAAAGCCAATCTACTAGCCAAGTGTAATGTACTCACCAATGATACCCTGTATATATAATGAAGAGGTAAAGACGGTCTCAAAAGATGAGAAGCCACCAGACTTGTTTTACATGAAATGCCAAAGGGAGTTACTCAAAATGAAAGACACTGAGTAGTAAGAAGATCTCAGCGGGCAGATCACTGGTAGAGTAACTGTACAAACTCATAGTCCTCTAACAGTAAATATGGTGTACCTTTAATATGGGGGGCGGGGGGACAAAGTAAAACCCCTAACAATTGCATTAACATGTTAAGAGACATGCAATACAGAAAGATGTAAAATGGGGATCAAAAATTCAAAATGTGGGGAGGGATGGAGTGTAAATTTATTATCTTTTGCTAATATCTTTTGTTTCTTGTCCTGTTTTTATAATCAATGTCAAGTTGTTTCCATTTCAAAACAGCTTGCATAACCAAATGATGTTTTCCATAAGCCGCATGGCAACTATAAAGCAAACATTTTTAATAGACAAGGACCCACAAAACATGACTAGAATCACTTAAGCACAAAGGAACAGTATATGGGAAGAAGAAAAGGAACTATAATAAAGCTAGAGAACAAGTATCAAAATGGCAGTAATAAAATATTACCCATCAGTAATTATCAGTGTAAATGGACTGAATTATGTAATCAAAAGAAACAGAGTGAATGGATGAAAAACGCTGCCTACAAGAAATTCACTTCTGGGCAGTGTTACGGTGCAGTGACCCCAGCATCCCGTATCAGAGTGCTGGTCTAAGTCCCAGCTGCTCCACTGACCCAGCCCCATTAATGTGCTTGGGAAAGCAGAGGAGGATGGCCTGTAAGTGCTTGGACCCCTGCCATCCGTATGGGAGTACAGGATGGAGTTCCTGGCTTCTACCTGGCCCAACTCTGGCTGTTGTGGCCATGTGGGGAGTGAACCAATGGATGGAGTATCTCTCCCTCCCTACCTTCCTCTCCTCTATTATCCTGCCTTTCAAATAAATCTGTTTTTTAAGAAACATTACACCTCTAAAGGATATACACAAACCAAAAGTGCAAAGATAAATTAAGATATACATGCAAATGAAATTAGAAATACCGTAATTCTTATTTGATCAAATATACTTCGATTCAAAAAAAGTAAAAGGATGGGGCTGGTGTTGTGGTGTAGCAGGTTAAAGCCGCCACCTATGATGCTGACATCCCACTTGGGCACTGGTTTGAGTCCTGACTGCTCCACCTTTGATCTAGCTCCCTGCTAATGCACCTAGGAAAGCAGCAGAAGATGGCCCAAGTACTTGTGCCTCCGTACTTACATGGGAGACCCAGAAGAAGCTCCTGGCTCCTGGCTTTGGATGGGCCCAGCTCCAACCATTGCAGCCATTTGGGGAGTGAACCAGTGGATGCAAGCTTCTCTCCCTCCCTCCCTTCCTCCCCGTCCCTCCCTGTTTCGAACTTTGCCTTTCAAATAAATAAAAATTTTTTTAAGTGACCATTTAGGGAGCGAACTAGCAGATTCTACTTCCCTCCCTCTTTCTAACTCTGCCGTTCAAAAGATAAGTAACTCTTAAAAAACAAAACAAAATAACATACCTCCACATAATAAAGGCCATATAACAAGTCAACAGCTAACATAGTAAATGGCAGAAAAACTGAAGCCTTTTTAAAATCTGGAACAAGACAATGTGGCCCACTGACACCACTTCTATTCAACACAGTACTGGAAATTCTGTTCAGAACATTTAGGCAAGAAAAAGAAAAGGCATCCCAATTGGCAAGGAGAAAGTCAAATTATCATTATTCAGGTGATAAGATTTTATGCATATGAAATGCAAGACTCCACCAAAACACTTTTAGAATGGAGAATTGAGCACAGTTGCAGGATACAAAGTCAACAGTAGTGGTGTTACACACTAAGTGAATTATCAAAAATTAAATCAAGAAAATCCCATTTTCAATCGCCATACACACACATGCACACAGTGCAGAAATCAGTCCAACCAAAGAGGTGAGCAATCTGCAATGAAACCAGAGAACACTGATGGCAGAAATTGAAGATGACACAAAGCAACGGAAAGACACCGTACTCTTACAGTGTGCATACCATCCAAAGCAATTAACAGATTCAATGCAACCCTTATCAAAATACCAAAAACATACTTCATGGAAAAAAAACTAGAAAAAACATTACTCAAATTTCTATGGCCCCATAAAAATCCCCAAATACCCAAAATAATCTTGAGCGAAAAGAAGAAAACAGGAGCCATTAGCTCCCTGACTTTATTTTTTTTAATTTTTATTT